GCAGAATTTTCCATCAGGATGAAAGGGTCTAAACCCAGTTTTACAAAACACTTCAAGGATTTCACACTGCACACTTTGTTTCTGCTTGTCACTATATTCCAGCCTTGGTGACAGAAGCTTGGTCACCCTTTAAATTCCAGGATTTGGAGTCTTGTTCTTAATCCCTGTCTTTGCAATGAGCCTATGTCTTCCACCCGTGCTCCAGCCCTTTGTCCTGTGTTGTGTCTGCCGTGTCTGCTGAGAGCTCGGGACAATCCAAGTCTGGAGCCTTCCCAGGACCTGTATTTCTGTCCCAGTCATGCTCATGGTGGCCACTGATGATGCTCTCTGCTTTGGAAAGAACCACAGGGCTTTGAAGCTTTCACATTTTACTCTGGGACGGGCAATGAGCTCTGGTTCCTGTCCAGCTCCAACCTTCAGGATGTTGAGGATTGAAATGCCTCACGCAGGGAAGGAGTCAGCCAGATCTCAACAAGATTTCTGCTCTCTGGGAAATTTGCTTATCTTAAATGGGTCTGTTTAAGCCACCTCTTTGAGTGCTGCTTCTGCCTGGGAAGTGCTGAAGATGCACAAGGGACACGTGAGGGGTGGACTGCAGGACATCTGTCAGAAGGGCTTTGGAGTGGGCATGAGTGGTGTGCTCAGAAATCTCCCCCTGCACTTCAGGACATTGCAGAGATCTCCAGGCAGAAGCACATGAACTACAGCTGCATCTGAGACTACAGAGCCCTTGGCACAGAAAATGGGAATTTGGGATTTGTGCTCATGCAGCTCTTGGTAAATGAACCTTGTAAATAGGAGAGAAAGGCAGGAAACCTTTCTGCAACTTCAAACTTTTCTGCTCCATATTTTTCTATATGTTTTGACTTTGTAATTCTTGTCCCAAGGACGTAATTTTGTCTCCTTCAAGCTGTGACAAGTCTCAGATAAGTTGATGGGTGACAAATGCTGTTTCCTAGCACTGACTAGCCCTCAGAGTGTGGACTCAGTTTGAGTCTCAGTGTGGTGGGCAGCTGCAGGTGCCGTGTATCAGCTGACAGGATATTTTGCCATTAGGAAGTAGAGCCTGAAATCAGGAATTCTCTGTCAAGTCTCTTTGTTTCTGCAGAAAGCTCAAAACTCTTGTTTAAACTAATCCTTCACTGATCAATAACATCATCAGTGGGGCCCAACTTCTCTTTGGCTCTGAGATCAGCCATGTTTGAGCTGCATATTCAGGGTGATGTTTCTCACTGTGCCAAATGGATCCAATCCCAGGCAGCCCAGCAAGGAGCCAGCCTCCTCCTCCTCTTCCATGTCTGCCATTGTCTTGGATGCCTGTGTGACCCAAAACAAGACAGTTCAGCCAGCAGAAAATTTCCTATTATTAGTTTTCTGTGCCCTTAATGAGCTGAAAGAACCATGAGTTCAGATTCAGGTCAGAAGGGATCTCAGGGTTGCATGGCTCAACTCCTCCAAAGCAAGGCCAGCTTTGGATGATTAGATTGCTCAGAGCTCAGGTGAGCAAAAAAACTGTGGCACAGAGATGCTGCTTTACTCAGGAACAGAAAACTGTTAATTTTTTAAGAGAGGCCCCACTTGATTTACTGAAAACATGGCTCCTCTTAGTGGTTTGTGCAAGGAAAAAGAAAGGATGTCTCTGGTAGCTGCTCACTGTTGGGCTGGCTCTGTCACCAGCTAAACCACAGAATTTCCTGAGTTGGAAGAAACCCACAAGGATCATCCAGCCCAGCCCCTGTCCCTGCTCAGACCCCCCACCAACCCCACCCCGGGCATCCCTGGGGCTCTGGCAGCCTCGGGGCCGTGCCCATTCCCTGGGCAGCCTGGGCAGTGCCAGCACCTCTGGGGGAAGAACCTTTCCCTGAGCTCCAGCCTGCCCTGCCCTGGCCCAGCTCCAGCCGTGCCCTGGTGCTGTCCCTGTCCCAGGGCAGGGATGGAGCTGCCCTCGGGAGGAGCTGCAGGTCCCTGAGCTCTGCCCTCAGCGTGCCCTGCTCCAGCTGCACACACCAAGCGCCCTCAGCTGCTCCTTGTGTGCTCCTGGCCCTTCAGCATCTTTGTGGCCCCTCTTTGGACACTCTTTGATAGCTTTAGATCCTTACTAATTAAGATATAATAATAGTAACAATAAGATGCAGTAAATTGAAGCTTTGGCAGTTAAAGGAGACTTGTGCAGTGCTTGGAGCTGTGAGATAATCCTGCTTGCTGGGCACAGCTGTTTCCACCTCTGGAGCTCTGTGTGTGCTGGGGTGGGTGCAGGCAGGGCTGAGTGCTGGGCATTGCTCCCTGCATAGCAATCCTGTGCTTCTGGACAACTTCTGCATGACAGCAGGGGCTGAAAGCCTGCAGGAAAATAACAGGCACCTGAAAAGAAACTCCAGGCTCCTTTAGGAAGCATCCAGTCACTGGAAGTGGTGCCTTGGGGATGAGGCAGAGCGTGGCCAGCTGTGTTTTGAGGGCTGCACCATTGATGTGCAGGTACAGCTGGTGGGAGGACTCTGCTCTGGAGCTCTTGGTGTCTCCTCCTCACACAGCTCAGTGCATCTGGCAGGGCAAGAGAAATGTATTAGCACAGGCTGGTGTTTGCTCAGATTCTGGTTCAAATCCAACAAAAAGCCAGGCAAGTCTGCTGGATCGTGAGAGGATAAAACCTCATTTCATTAAATCACTGCGGGTCAGAAAAATGTCTGTGCATTGCATCAGTCTGATGGAATCAGCCCCAGGGAAAACATCAGTGCCTGCCCAGGGCTGTGCTCAGCAGCACTGCTGGACACACAGCACCAATCTGGGTCACAGCCTGTGTCTCTCTGGCCTGAGCTGGCTGCACATTTAGATGTAATTTTGCCTGTTTTGGTGAGCAGCCTCCCTTGCTGTGGCAGCTCCTCCATCCCTGCAGGAGCTGTGGCTGTAGCAGGGACCAGGGATGTGCTGCCAGGGGCACAGGCACAGTGGGAACTCCTCTGGGTGGCTGAATGACATGATGTGTCCCATCATGGGATCTGCATGCACCCACATATGGGATTTTATTGCCCAAATCCCTAAACCAATTCTTCAAGCCTGGCAAAGTACTATTACATGTACTGTCTTTACAGCTGAAGTGGGCAATAGATTTTTCTTGCATTTATTCACCAAAAGATGAAATCACTTATTGATATAAGATTATATAGTGAAAGTTTGCACCAGGACTTCATCTGACAGCAGTCTTTTCCTGGCACTGAGTTCCCAGCCTGAGAGCAAAGGGTGCAGTCCAGCTGCTCTGCCTGCTGCATGCCAACTTCCCAAATGCACCATTTCTCTGGGTTTGTTACTAGTAAAACTGAGAACATGGGTTTGCCTCACAGCTTGTTTGTAGAATTCTCAATTTTTCCTCCACATTAGAGAAATTTCATTGTGGCACAGCTTGGTTTAGACACTGAGCGTTGTGCAGATCTCAAATGAAATGCTCCCTGCCCTGGCTTCCACATCCTGCAGCTCAGTGCCAGATGTCACCTGGAGCAGGGGACACTTCTGGAGTACCATCAGCTGTAAGAGGCACCTGAGCTATCACATTCATTTTCTTAACAGCAAAATAGTCTTGCTTTAACACTAACAGCTCAGACAAAAGTAGCAAAGCCCTGTTTCTGCCACATTGCCTGTGTCTGCCTGACACAAAAAAGTCTTTATTCAGGAAGTCAGATAGATCCTGAAGACTGTGTGCTTCTTCCCAGCTACTGATACAGATTGCTAATGCACAAAAGCAAGGGAATAAAATTAAAACTAAACATGCCCACATGGCAAGCAGAATGGAGCTGGATCATGCATGCACTGTGTGATTTGGGTTGGAAGGGACCTTAAAACTCATCTCGTTCCAACCCCCTGCCATGGCAGGGACACCTTCCACTGTCACAGGCTGCTCCAAGCCCCATCCAGCCTGGCCTTGGACACTTCCAGGGATCCAGAGGCAGCCACAACTTCATTGTGCTAGGGGAGTAAATCCTTGCTCACAGTAACTGCTCCTAAAATCTCATTACAGAAACCTTAAAAATCTCTGTATATGCCTACAGCTGTGCCATCCTGGTATCAATCTTTTATTGTCTCTGTTTCCCTGGCTAAGACTTTTTTCCTTAGCTACAAAGCCCCTGATTTCAAAAGTGTTTCCCTGTGTTTTTTCCTAATTCCTTGCCCCAGTGTTGAGGTTTCCAGATGTAAGAAACAAGACATCCTAAAGATCAGTCTACAGTTTTCAAAATGCAACAGAATTTTGTTTTGTTTCTTTTTAGCAGAAATTTAAAACAGAAGGAAATACTGGTCTGCTAGGCTGGGCCAGCATATCTCTGGCCTTTAGCAGGCTTGGGAAAAATGACTGAACAAATTTAGGGGATGTGTGGGCAAGTATAGCAGAAACCCGGTTTTGTGGTGGAAAGGGTGAGCAGATGAGAAGGAACAGACCTGCCTCTGGTAGTATGTGGAGGAGCAGGGCAGCTGTTCCAGCAGAGATGAGCTGTTGCTCAGGGCCAGGAGCAGTAATCCTTGCAGGCAGCGAGGATGGAGCTGGTCCCTTTCACTGCAGTTTGCTGGAAATTCAGGGACAGAACAGATTAGATGTCAGCCTTGAGAGAGGGGATTTCCAGTGTTTGCAGCACTGGCTCTGTGCCTGTCAAACAGGCCTTGGCTGATCCCTCCCTAGGAATGCTCTCAGAGCCTTTTCCGTGGCCACTGGCAGGTCAGCACTCACAGAAGGAAGAGCTGTAGGTGCCAGTTATTTTCAGGAAGGAAGGTACGGCTGCAAGCATGATCCTTCTGGAGTTCAGCCTATCCAAGTAAAGCCCCAGTGTCCCCCAGCTCGAGTTCTGAGCTGGGGATCCATGTGTTTGGTTTTTACTCTGGCACGGAGAGCAGTCCCCCAGCCGGGGGTCTGGGAGTTCTCCAGGATTTTCCATGTGACGCTGTATAAAGATGGAGGCTGCTCTTGTTTTGATTCTCACCTGATTTAATTACATTTGCTTTTTCTCTTTTTATTTCAGTTGTGATTCCAAAGAGCCCTTTACCTGCCTCCGAAGTAAACTCGGAGAAACCTAGCATGCACAGTAGCACAAAGACTGTTTTGGGGCATCAACAAGGGCAAAGGCGTCGCAAAACAGGGAAGAAGCGTGGTCGAACGACCAAAGCGCTAATCCACCACCCCATGCCTACACCCTCCAAGTCAGTGGAGCCTTTGAAATTCCCCAGAAAGAGAGGCCCCAAGCCTGGCAGTAAGGTAAAAGCTGATGCTGATGCAGGCGGGTGAACAGCAGGTGCTGCAGGTCCTGCCATGGGTTGGTGCATGCGTGTGTTTGTGCACGTTTGTCTCAGCCTCTGGCTGTGTGACTGCAGCAAGTAGGAGACCAGAGGGGTATGTGGGCTGGGAGTATCCTCAGAGCCCAGCCCCAGAGCTGTAGAGAATGTCTGTGTCCCAAAGATCATTTCCATCAAGAGTCCGTGTCTTTGGAAGTGCATTGGCTGTGGAGTAGCATGGCAGATGCTGGGAGCATGACAGGATGGCCAAAGGGTAGAATAAGCTCTCCTGTCCTTTGTGTGTGGCTAGTCTGAGTCAAACAGAGGTGGCAGATCCCAGGCTTGTTATTCTTCAGGGTTGTGGTTTGTAAAATACACACGTATTGATTACTAGGTTCTTGAGACACCCCGTCATCACCATCAGAAATGTGTCATGTTCCACAGTGCCTTGTCTGTTGGATGCAGAGGAGAGAGTGTAGTGATCATGGGTGGTAAAGGAGAGCAGGGGTAAAAGGAGAAATATCTCCTCTTTTTCTGCAGAGGAAACCTAGGACATTGCTGAACCCAGCACCCACCTCTCCAACAACCAGTACCCCAGAGCCAGACACAAGCACTGTGCCCCAGGACGCTGCTACAATCCCCAGCTCTGCCATGCAGGCTCCCACAGGTAAGGAGGGTCTTGGACCACATTCTTGACAGGATTGCACAGTTAGGAACTGCAGCAGGCAGGCAGCAACACCCTGAGAGAATCCCATTCCTTCCTAAGTCTGTAAGCCAGCAATCCTTACCACTCCAGAAAGGTTGGCCTGAGAGAGGCATGTGAGTCCAGAGCAGCTGTTCATTTATCTTTTTGTTGGAAATAATGAAGTAGGAAGGTTGCAAGCCCACCTGTTGAGTGCAAGGACCCTTTTCCCCTGCATGCTGGTGACTCCACAGCTCTCCAGATACGTTTGTGGTCCGTTGTGCCCCGGGGCAGTCAGGTGTGCAGCACCTCTTGTGAGCCCAGAGCGTGAGCTCTCCCACACCATGCATGGCACAGCTGCTGGAACTGCACAAGGGGCAGAGGAGGTGCTGAAGAACTGTGATCTGCCCAGCTCCAGCCAGGATGTCAAGGCACACAGGGACAGGAGGGAATAGGGGAGGAGGAGCAGCAGCAGTGAAGAGTGTATGCACTGCTACAGCTGAGGATGAATCTGGCCAGGAAAGTCTAATGCAAGTCTGCTTTTGACATGTTGAGTCAAGCACTGGATGTGGGCTGAGCCCTCTGTTCCCCCAGAATGTAATTGGCCAGTTTTCAGAGGAACCTAAAGAAGCCAGTTTCCCTAAAAAGGAAAAACTGTGGGAACCCCTAGAAAGTGGGGGCTGCATTCCTTCTTCCCCTCTGAACATCACAGCCACCTTACCTGGCTGGCATGGAAACAACTTTACAGGCTGACTGCAGGGCAGAGCGTGGGAGAAACAGCAGCAATTTGGAAGGTGAGCATGAGGCAGGAAGATTTTGGAGGTGATTCCCCTCTAGAAGCGGCTCCACTGTGAGGATGCAGTCAGGCAGTCGTGATGGATTCCACTTTGTGAGTGATTGGATAGTCTTAAAATCTCAGCATCTCTCAGGTTGGATTTTAGGCATCTGTTTCTTGCTTTCTTGAGTGGGTTAACGGCAAACACGTTTCTCATCTTGGCAGTTTGCATTTACTTGAACAAGAACGGCAGCACTGGGCCCCACCTAGACAAGAAGAAAGTTCAGCAGCTGCCAGACCATTTTGGACCAGCTCGAGCTTCTGTTGTCCTGCAGCAAGCAGTACAGGCCTGCATTGATTGTGCTTATCATCAGAAAACAGTCTTCTCCTTCTTAAAACAAGGCCACGGGGGAGAGGTCATCTCAGGTGAGAACGGGCCCGCAGCACTTTGCCTCCAGAGAGGTTGTTGCAAGAATTCTCTCATTGAAGATGTCTGTCCTGAAGCTCACTGCAGCCACAGGCCAGGGGCAGACAGAAGAGTTCTGTCTTCTCTCTCTTGCCACACATCTGTGTCAGTGAAGCAGCAGCTGGCTCAGAGCGGAGCAGTTCCATGGCCCGCGGGCACAGCTGCTGGAGCAGGCAGTGCTCAGTCCTGCCCCAGCCCTGGGAAGAGCCACAACAGGGGGGATTCCGCAGCTCCTCACGGCAAGACAAGAAATACCCCGGGTTGTATCTCTCCTCTAAGCCCGTGCCTAGCTGGATCTGTGAGCGCAGGCCCCTGCTGGAATCTTTTCCGCTGCCGCCCCGGCCCGTGCTGGGTGCAGCAGGCTGGTCCTGGCCTGCCCGGCAGCGGGAGGCAGTGGCTTGGTTGGCTCTCGACAGCCCAGCGATGCTGAGATCCAGGAGCTGGCTGTGCGGCCCTGGGCGTAGCCTCCCGGAGCCTTGGCGGGGGGTTCACGTGTTGGGCTCTGTTTGTTTCTGTCTCCAGCTGTGTTTGATCGGGAACAGCACACTCTGAACCTGCCAGCAGTAAACAGTATCACCTACGTCCTCCGCTTCCTGGAGAAGCTGTGCCACAATCTGCGCAGTGACAACCTCTTTGGGAACCAGCCTTTCACTCAGAACAGCCACATGCAGCGCTCACACGAGTACGACCACGACAGGTATCTACCAGGTAGGAGCTGGGGCGGGGGCGGCTCTGTAGGGACCCAGGTGCTCCGTGTCTGAACCCAGATTTGATCTCTATCAAGGCAGGCTCCTGTTCCAGAGCCCTCTCGCAGGGTTCATTGCATCACACCCGGTGTCGTGCACATGCCCACAGGGCTCTTGTTGTGTAGGATTCCAGCTGCATTTTCTGCCTGTCAGTTTGGTTCCCATCTCCGCTGTAGGTTTCCGCTCATCCGTGCTGTCTCCTTGTCTTCCCTCCTCCCCTGCTCCCCCGGTCCTTCCCGCTGCCTGTGATCTGATTGTGGTGACTTCACACAGTTAGGAATTCAGGTGAAAGACTGCTTGAGAAGGGAGAGTGCTGACATGCAGCAGATAAACTGTAATTAGAAATTAATTAAAGCAGAGCGGTTTCCACACTGGCTGTGGATCTGCTGGCAGCAGCCAGAGCATCCAGCCCTGGCTAACAGCGTGGCCTGTTCAGGGGTGATGCTCATGCAGCCATCCAAGGCTGAGGTGGTTTTGTTTTCCTTAGCATGGCATTGAAGCAGCTCACCCCAGCAAGACAGCTCATGCCACAGTGCAGATTATCAGGCTGCAAAACTGCTCTGAAGTAGAAGTGGAAAACAAGCCCAATAATTCCTCCACAGTGCTGGGCAGTGACAGCAGGCCTGGGGTGATGGCTGCCCCTCAGGCTGTCTGGGGCTTCTGGGGGAGCTCCTGCTCAGGAATGTCAGTTGTGGAGAGGATCAAAGCTGTCTGCACCCTCTTAGGTGGTTGACAAGTCCTGATCTCCTCTCCTGTCTTGCTTTCTTCCCACTCTAGTCAGCAAATAGCTGTTGGTGTTGTTTGAGGTCTTTCCAAAGTTAATCCTTTTCATAATTATGGTTCTGGCAAGAAAAGCAAAAGTTGTATGAATGTAAAAGGATGGGCCCTTAGGAAGAACTGTTTAAAGAGAAGTCACTAAGAATGAGGTGTAGGAGCTACAGGTAAATGCCACAGTGCTTCCATTCATTGCACCTCACAAAGCACCTTAAGCAGAGTCTAGAGAGCAAGAGGATCTTCCCATCCTCTGCTTCCTCCTGGCTGGGGCCAGCAGGGCCAGGAGCAGAGGAGCTGTAGGATATGCAAGGACAGGAACAAGCATGACTAGTTACTAGGACTGGAGGCTTGCCCCTGAGGAACCCTCAAATAGAAGAAATCCCCATGTTTCAGTATCCTGTCATCATGAGAGAGAGCAAAACCTGAGTGGGAGAGAAAGCACCCAGCTCTGGCATGGATGAGCTCACACACAGAATTTCCTGCCTCCATGAGAGGTCAGTGGTGGCTGTGCCAAGAGCTGGGCAGAGGGGAAAAGTGTAAATCAGAATTCAGGGAAGCTCAGGCAGAGCACCAGATCTGACACAATGCTGAGCCTTGCCCATCCTGAGCTCTGATTCAGTTTGCAGCACTTAAAGAAAAATTAACCACAGTCAGAGGTGTGACAGCACCTAGTCCTGCAGTTCATCCTGTTGTCTGAGCTTGTTGGGCATCTGCTCATGTAACACCTTTCTCAGGCACCTGACAGAAGGTGTAATCTACAGTGGCTTCTGGTGAGGGCAGGGAAACAGTGCTGGTGATTTTGGGAACTTGAGCTGGTCATGGAGGAATGAGGGTGGAGTTGTACATCCTTAAATCACACCAGATGTCAAGGCTGCTGTGGTCTCACCTTCAGCTCTGCATGTCCTGCCTTGTTTCCTCTGCAGTACAAGAATGTATTGTATGGGGCTGGTTCTTCCAGTAAACGGCCACTGGTTAGGGCTGGGAGCTGCTCTGAGTTCCCAGAACAAACTGGCTTTGCAGGAGCACCCCTGTGGGTGCCACGGGGAACTGGGGTGTGTGCTTGGGGCAGAGGGAAGCTCTGCAGTGTCCGTGTCCTGCCATTCTGCCTTACTGAGTGAATGGAAATAAGGAGGAGCAGACTGAGCTGTGCATCAGGAGCAGCCCTGTGCAGGGACTGGGCAGCTGGTTGCTGTTCATAGCAGCATCAACATTATGTGACTTGGAGCTGTCTGAAAACACAGGACTGGAGGGACCCTCTGGGCCACAGAGCCCTGGCACCTGCTGCAGCACCACAGCACATGGAGTTTCTTGGATTAGCTCTGGAGTTGTGGATTTTGATTTTCCATTGGAGACTGCTCCAGGGGTTTATGCTGAGATTTTAGAAACTGCGTTGTAATTTCCAGCACTAATTTATTCTTGGGCAACTTGGTGTCTGTGTCTCCTGGTCTGAATATTGTCTTTTAGCTTAATTTAGTTCTCTTTCCTCTGGAAGTAGTTGTAGAGCACTTGTAGCCCTCAGAGGAGTTGAACTTTTGACTGCTTTTCGGTCTCCTCAGACAGTGTTGGTTTGACTTAGACTTCATGGGGTGGCCAGAGTGCCACCCAGCACTCTGGGGAGGAGCTCATGGGGACCTGGTGCCACAGCACTGGCACCACCATGGTCACTGCAGTCTCTGCAGTCACTTTGAGTCACTGTGTCCTTGTAGCAGGTGATGATCAGCCTGTCCTGGTCACATACACTGTTCTTCTCTTCACCTGCAGGTCACCAGATCATGGGACAGTGCTGCAAGGGCACATCTGGGTTTAGCTGCTGGATTTTTATCCTTGCTGGTTCTTGGTTATATATATATCCTTCTTGCCTGATTTTAAATGCTGCTTTGTCTGGCTGACATAGGAAAGCATCAGCAGAATTCATTGATAAATTTCTAAAATTTCTGCCAAAGTTATTACAGTGATTAAATGACCCTGGACTCAAGGATGATCCTCAGGCAGATTCACTGGCAGCTGCTCCCAGTCTCATGTTCCTTCTCAGTGTGCTGCCAACAGCTTTACCTCTCAAATCAGATTTCTGTGCATAGAGCAAGGCTCCTGTAGCTCATGTTCTGTCTCAGCTGGCTCTCTGTGTGTAACATCTTGCTGAATTCCAGGTACATGAGGTTGATGTCTCTTCCCTCATGTGACAGATCAGGATTTCCCATTGCAGGGAGGCTGTTGGGTTGGCCTCCTCTCATGAACACCTGCCATAGAATGTGCCATGTGTATTTCCTGCCCTTTTCTTCAGAGCCTGCCACAAGCCTTGTGCTGCTGCTGAGGATGGACATTGGCATTTTATTGTAAAAATCTTCTTTTCCACCCTTTTTTTTTTTCAAATATTGACACCACATTTCAAGTGACTCTCAGTAACACAGTGCTGAGTTCTGTTAGAATTTACTAACAGAATTTACTAACAGCAGACCCAGAGATTCAGGTGCACTGTCATTCTTGGCTTCCTCTGCACCCTTAAGTCTCCAGTTTGAGGACATTCAGTTGTCTTAGTCAGTGGTGGATATTTTGGTTCCTGTCCTGTTTCTTTTATCCTTAGAGCCTTGCCCTCAGTGCTCAGCATGGCTGCAGCTGGAAGTGAATCCCAGAATGGTTTGGGTTGGAAGAGACCTTAAAGTTCATTTTATTCCACCCCCTGCCATGGGTAGGGACACCTTCCACCATCCCAGGTGGCTCCAAACCCCATCCAGCCTGATCTTGGACACTTCCAGGGATCCCAGGGCAGCCACAGCTTCTCTGGACAACCTTCCCACCCTCAGGGAAGACTTTTCTTCCGTAAATCCAGTCTAAATCTACCATCTCTCAGCATACAAGTGCACTGAGTGCACCAACACCTGAGCCAGGTGTGCAGGTGTGCTCTGCAGCCAGGGAGGAGGTGCCAGTGCAGTCAGTGCAAGGTGCATTGTCCTAAATTAGAAGCCCTGAGTGGTCTGACAAGATGAGGTGAGTGACTGTCACTGCTCGTAGAGGTGTCCCTGCTGATGGCCTTGGGATGGCCCACAGCACCATCCAGGCACAGCAGGTGAGCTGCTCTTCCCCCCACCAGCCTCCCAAGGCAGGGGAGGTGAAATGTCCCTCCCAGCTCTCCTGTCATTTGGAGGCAAGGACAACCCTCTTTCCTTTTCTCCCAGTCCTCACCTTTCTGCACAGTGTCCCCTCACTCTGTTCATTCTGTAGCTGAAACACATCTTTGCCTTTGCACTGTCTCAAAACACAGAATGAGTTAAAAACCTCCCTTCATCCCTGCACTCCCCATCCTGAGGTGCACAGCTCCATGCTGGGCAGGGCCTTGGATAAACACAGAAATGATCTGCATGTTCTCAGCATCCTTCTCAAAGTGAGCGTTTATCCACTGAGAATGGGGGTCCTTCCCTCTCAGATTATTTCTTCTTTGATGATACACATTTCTGAGGTTTATATCATGTTTGAACTGAAGACATTTTCCTTTTATTCCTGATAATCTGAGTACAGCTTTGTCTGTTACTCCCTTTCTTTATTTTCTTAAAACTTGTCCTTTAAAAACAGAATTTTGTTTTTGGTTTATCCTCTCATTAATTTACACCAACCTCACTTCTGATTCCTAGAATTAACTTCTATAACCTGACTTGCTGTGTTTTTAACATCAACCACTTAAAAAAAAAAAGAAAAGCCCAAACCGAAACCTGATGACACCTCTGTAAAGCATCACCTTGTGTTGTGGTTCTGTGGCTGTTGGGTGAAGAAGGTCGTGCAGTTTGACACAGGGACATTACCAAGAGCATGTGTTCCCCCTCTGGGCAGCGAGTGTTTTGTCCTGAGGTTTGAATTTGTTTTTCTGGCAATGTCACAATGAATTTTGGTGATACTCCTATGTAGTCCCAGGGCCTCAGTGCAAGCAGCTCCTTCATTCCCCTGAAGGATATTGATTGAACAGGTACCTTCTCTACCTTTGTGTGTTCCTTAATCAACTCAGTTGTGCCCGTCTGGTGCTCCCCCCACCCGTACCTCCGTTTGTTGGGCATTCTGCGTCTCCCTTGGTGTCAGTCCCGTCGCTCCCGCCGTTCCTGTTCCCCTCCTGCCCCTGTTCCTGCCCTGTGCCAGCTGTCAGGGCTGCTCTGGGCTGGTGGTGCCTCCTGGCATTTGTGCAGGAGCATTCCACCCCTCTGTGCCCACCCCAGCAATGCTGCCAGCTCTCACGTGTCACCCGTGCTCAGGGTGGCTGCAAGGGCCCAGCTGGCATCTGCTGACCGTGTGGGCAGGGGCAGGAGGGTCACCTCAGCTGGGACAGGTCTGCCACCCCTGTGTCACTTACCTGGCTGCTGTCCCCATCAGTGTCAGTGCTTCATTCCTTGTCCATCCACCCGTGACACCGTGTGTGCAGAGACGCCCCAGCCCATCCCCATGTCCCCTCTGCTGCCCAGGGTGTGGAGAGTCCCATCCTGGGGATGAGTTTGGAGAGGAGCAGCAGTGACAGCGCCTGGGGGAGATTGAAAACTGGAGTAGGGTTTAATCCCAGCTCTGAGTATGGCACAGAGGGGTTGCAAATCATCCAAGGCTTGTTTGCCAGTTACCCAAAGGTTGCGTGTATCTGAAAGGTGACTGTGGGATGAGCAGGAATTGTGTTGGATGAGCCATGAGGAGAAATGGAATTAAGTCAATGAGAGGTTCTACTTGGGTGAAATATAGCAAACCATGGCTAAGATTCTTTGTTATCTCACCACCCTTTTTGTCTGATAAAACCTGCAAACTCTGCTCTGTTGAGCCCTGCCAGATGTGCTGGATTGAACAGGTGGTGGGTGCCCAGGCTGGCAATGCACGCAAGGCTCAGGGGACTGTCGAGACTGCATTTCTCAGGATGTCTCTGCTCCTAAAGAGGCCTTGTTCTCTTTTCCTAGACAGAAGCAGCTCGTTAGACGGCTCTCTGCAGGGACCAGGCCGGGGTACAAAGCGCTTTTCCCAAGACCCCCCTCCATACAGTGCTCCTCTGTCCCCCAAGTTACCAAAGAATGACCGTCACCCTTTGGAAGGTGAGCACAGCGTGTCTCTTCGCAGAGCTGGCTGTCCCAGCGCCCTGTCCTGCTGCAGCAGGCTCAGCTCTGCCCTGCCTTCAGGAGCTGCTTTGCTTGGCCCTGCCATGGGTTGTGCTTCCAGAGGGGAGTGGATGAGCTGCTCTGTGGTGAGACAGATTCTCCACAGAGATGTGTCAGGCATGGGGAATGCAGCAGAATTCCTTCTAACCCTGGCAGTCATCATCTCACACCGTATAATCTGGTTTAGCTTTCCTCTGGTTTAGCTGTGCATGGGATTAACAGTGCTCAAACTGCCCAGCTGCCTCAGTCAATCTGCCCCTGGATTTTTGGATTTTTCCCTGAGGGTTTGCTGCAGCCTGTTGTACAGATGCTGATGTGCAGCTGTACGGCCAGGAACTTGCTGCCCTTTCCCAGGATCTCATCCTGTTCCTCACAGGCCTCCCTAAAGCAGCTGGGGGGTGTCCCTGGCTCCACCAGCTCAGCCACACCATTCCCCTCCCACACTGCTGCTCCTTCCCAGAGTCCCTCGGGATACCACTGGTGCAGAAGCAGGAATTGCCACTTCAATTCCTTACTAAGCACAGGGACATTTAAAACTCTTCACAGTTGGGATGCAAGTCAGCAGCAGAATTCATCTTCCCAGGAAAAGGCAAAGTTTGCCCCATTCACTTTGTCATGAACTCAATTATTTTAGCTGTGGGATCCATAGGTGACCCTTGCATGCACAGGTGGGAGATTTCCAGAAGATCCAGGTAGCTGGAGGACTCCCTGAACTGAGTAATCCTCAATAAATACACTCCCACTTTTGTTCTGAACTGCAAACCCTTCATAATGAAGAGTGAAGATTTAATCTTACTGGGGCTTTTAATTAATGGCTGGTGAAATCTGCCAGCATGTTAGTTACAATTCTTTGTGACTGAAATCCCTGAAAAATTGCTGGAGGCTCCTGGGCAGGCTCAGAGTTCAGTGGCTTCATGCTCTGCTGCTGTCCCTTTAGAATCCCCGTTTCCCAGGTTTTGCTGGGGTTGCTGAGCCCAGGTGTGAGTGCCCAGCCTGGCACCGCTGTGGGTGATTTTGGTCTGTGCCCATCACTGTGCCCTGTGCTCTGCAGAATCACTGACTCAAGCACAGCAGCTCTGAACTTGCCCAGAGAGCTGTGGCTGCCCCATCTCTGATGTTTCCAGGGCCAGGTGGATGGGGCTTGGAGCAGCCTGGGATAGTGGAAGGTGTTCCTGCCTTTGGCATGGAGTGGAACTGCATGGGCTTTGAGGTCCTTCCCACCCCAAACCATTCCGAGATTCTCTGGTGGACAGTTTGTAATGGCCTCATGATCTGCAGTGATTAAAACTGTGCATTTGTCACAGGGCTGGTGTGTGGCAGTGCCTCATCTATTCCAGCATATTGACAAGTCAAAAGCTGTCCCCAGAGGCCCCTTCTGTTTGTCACCTCCCAATGGGTGCTGGTCTCCTTGATTCCCCTCTGATGCATCAGCCACTGCATTTGGGGAAGTGTTGGCACAGCCCAGCCCCTCCTCCTCCCCCAGCAGTGGGACATGCAGTGTTCAGCCTGTTCTTGAAGAACTGGATTGCTCCAAAGGTTCAGGTGCCTTGGTTGGGTGGTGAATATTGCCCACTCTGTATTGTCAGTGATGAGAGAAGGCAATTCCAAGGAGGAGCCTTCATTAGGTTTCTACAAAATTGATTCTTAGTCTGCTTCAGTCTATTCAGTTATCCCTTGGCCTTGGAATGGGTTGTGCCATCTGGATGCCAGAATTCTCCAGCCTCTTCCAGAAAAACACAGACAAGTGGGCAGGAAGTGTGTCTGCATGTGAGGGGTGATCCTTCCTGCAGCAGCTTGCTCTGGTTCTGTTCCTCATCCAAGCAGGGAGCAATGAGGTGCAGTTTCAAATTCCATCTAGAAATTCATTCTTATCCCACAGCTAAAAGCTGTAATGAATGCATCCTCCTCCACCATGAAATCGAGGTTCAGGCAGGAATATTTGCATTTCAGAGGATATATTTTAAGAACATGCACCTGAAATACTCAGATATTGAGTATTTCTTGAGCAAGGTACATCTTCTCGTGGGAATGCACTCTCTCTCAGACAGCAGCTCCTGAACACATCCCAGTTTGCTATATGGAAGGCTGTGAGCAGCAGTGGGACATCTCTGTTCACTCTGCATTTGGCAAGAAGCAGAGACGTGAGGAAGGGATCTCACATATTACATTGTTTTTCCTCTTGCATCCCAGTGGTGTTTGCGTGGCTTTTAGCTGAAACACTGCAGTCCCAGCACAGTGGGGACCTGCCTTCACAGCCCATCACTTGCTGGAAGCAGTGGGTGTTCAAGAGTAGTGCAAATCACATTTGTGCTTGTGGCCAAACTCCTGTGTTTTAGCAGTAAAATGACACTGTTGAGTCTATAGCACTATTTGTTTAATTAAACTTTAATTATCTGCTCCCTGCCTCTCCACCACTAATTGTGGCACGTTTCCCTACAATGTGCCAACTGCCAGCCTTTAGTTAAATCTAACAGTTTGTGAAAGGAAATCTGCCTAAGGATCAGCCACCTCCTCCTCCCACTCTGGTTATCAAGGGTGAAGGACCCTGGATCTTGCCTGAGCGCAGCTGTGCCCTGCCACTTGCAGGAGTATCCATCTACAGAGGATTCCCAGGAGCAGTAGCCATTCCCTTCTTGCTTCATGAATACCCTGAGCTATTCATCAGTGATACCCTGAGGTATCATTCACTGAGCAGCTCCCTGTGTACTAGTATTGTTAGGAAAACCCTCACTGCCTCTTGCACTGACCCTGCCACAAAGCCCCGGGCTCTGCTGCAGTGTTACAGCCCAGCCAGGCACTCACCCGTGCAGGGATGGGGAACCTGGGGATCACTGTGTGCCTTCAGCTTTACCTCCTGGGTAAAAACACATCATGCCCCCAGGGCTTCACCCGTGGCCATGTGAGAACAGGATCACATATTTGCAGAATGCATCACAGCATATTCCTGTCATGGCACTGTATTAATTGTTGAGTGAAGTAATTTCTGAGGGTGAGTCTTGGATCCTGAGCCTTCCACTGACAGGAACCTGAGCACGTGTTCTCCCAGATTCGTTCTGCAGATACCAATTCCTGCTGTGAGAGCTCTGGGGGTTTTTGGGAGCACTCAGACACGTGTGTTTGTGTGACCCAGCACATCTGGGTGAGTGTCCCTGGACTTCTGGCAAGCTGAAGCCCTCTGTCACCTCAGAAGGTGCTGGGATTGTTGGGAGGGCTGAGATGCACAGCTGGGACCTGTTCCCATGCCCACAGCCACTGTCCTGTGACAGCTCCGAGGGCTGTGCCCACTGACCCCTCTCCTGCCTCTCTCCTTCCCTGGCAGTCAGCACCCTTCCCCAGATATTTAATGGGAAGTGTTTTGAGGTTTAAACAGAGCTGTCCTGTTGAACAGGAGACCAAATGTTGTTGCTTGGAAGCAGCTACAGTGGACACCCACTGGTGTAAGTGACACCCACCAGTGGGTCTGGCTGGGCAGGGGATCTCCACCCAGGCCAGGGCAGGGTGGCCAGCTCTGCTTTGCATCCAGTCTGGGGCTGAAATGCAATGGTGGGAGTGCAGGAGGGGTTTGAAGTTATTCAGGAATAGCCATGAGGGGTTTGACGTTATTCAGGAATAGCCATTAGTTATTCAGGAATTGCTACAAGGGGTTTGAAGTTATTCAGGAATAGCCATGAGTTATTCAGGAATTGCTACAAGGGGTTTGAAGTTACTCAGGAATGGCCATGAGTCAGCAAACCATTTTTTATGCATCCAGAGCAGGTGAGAACACACTTGTCCATGCAGGAAGCGAGTGGCAAGTGGGCCAGTACAGCACAGGTCACCAGGGGTAACAACCTTCACACCAGCAGTTTGTACATGAGATTTTAAGGCTGTGCTACTGTTTTTGGGCACATCCCAGAGAACTAAAAGCAAACAAAGGCAGCAGTGCCTCAAGTGCAGAGTGGCAAAGCCCTGGGTGAGAATTACCCAGTGATAACCCCACATCAGGCTGGCCAGCAGCCAGGCAAGGGTGTTCCCATTTCATATCCTTATGGTGTGAAGCCCTGGAAGGTCAGGGCTGGACCAGCTGAACTGGCCTCTGCATCTCTGCTCAAACACAGGCAGCAGGACACGAGACCAGAAGATCCCAGCTCTCAGAGTTCACAGAAACCAGAGCAAATAGGTGTAGCCAGGAGAGGCTGCCCCAGTCGATGGTACCCAACGTCTGCAGCACTTGGGAACCACTTCAGGCTCTGGCAAGCTGCACGTCCCTTCACTGGAGCATGGCAGCAGGGAATTTGGGAAAATCTCAGCAGTTTCTGGGTCTCACCATGGTCCCAGCTCAGCATAGCATTGCTGTGCTGGCTTTCACCTGCTGCTCCTGGAGTCTGGGAAGTGCCAGGGAAGAAACCCAGGGCCGGTGCTCAGGCTTCTCCAGCCTTGTCAGCTGCAAAGTGTTGGCGTGGCAGCAGCTCAGGGCTGTGAGCTGCCCTCAGGGCCCCTCAGATTCTGGTGGAGGAGCTGCAGCTCCCAGCCATGTGTGCTGGCAGTGCACAGGCAGCGCCCCTCGCTGTGGAGCCACTCCCCTCCTTGGCAGGTGTTCCATCAGAAAGAACACAGGGGTTTGAGGGTGACCCACGGGGCACAGGGACCACCTGGGCTGAGACTCAGTAGTGCCGTGTCAAACCTGCAAAGGTGGCCCTGCAGTGGAGCTGTCCCAGGGGAGCAGCAGAGGCAGACATTGCTGCCTCAGCCCATGCAGCCTGTAACCCTGGACAGCCTCCTCAGCCCCTCCATCCCACGGACAGCTGCAAATCCAGGGCATTTCTGGAGAAGGCAAGGAAGCCACCATTGCTCTGATACCCTTCCTGGGAAGGGTATTAGAGGCCCAGGCCCTCCTGTGCATGTTCCACACGGGGAGTTGGCCTCTGATGTTGTCAGGCTGGAAAAGAGCCCGGCAGGAGGCCAGGAGGGACGAGCAGCTCATCACCATGGTGCTTTTGGGGCCAGAGGAGCAGCACGGTGTGGGAGCATTGCCTGGCCCTGATGGCACAGCTCCCTCCTGCTCTGCACGTGCTGCCAGCCCAGTGCCAGACAGCTCCTGCTGAGGATGGGCAGTGTGTGACCCCTCGGGGAGCATCTCCTCCCCTTCCTGCTGAGGCCTGTCTGAGTCCTGTGTCCATCGACATCCAGAGGGCACAGCCCTGCCCTACCCCACGGTGCCCCTCGGCCACAGAGGGGCCCAGGGCAGCCAGGCCTCGGGGCTGCTGGTGGCTTGAAGAGAGTAGCTGAAAAAAGGAGCTGCTGCTCCAGTCTGGGAGCATTGTCACTGCACTGGTTGGACTGGCACTGGCAGGTGGTGACACCGTTTGCAGATTGGCAGCTGGTGAATCCCAGGGCAGTGCCTGGCTTTATCTCTGAGCTGGGGAGAGACCAGCCAGGGGTCAGACCCAGTGAGCACTGCTGCTGCTGCTGCTGCTGCTGCTGCTGCTGCTGCTGTGCTGCTGCTGCGGCTCTGCCCCGCACGGGCGCGTGGGGCCGTGGCGCTCGGGTGCACTAACTGCAGCTTGGTGCATTCCAGGTGAAACCTTTGTCCTGGGAGATGGCCTCCCAGGGCCCTTAGAGCCTCGCCTGGACCCCATGGACTCTGCCTTGAACTCTGTCAATTCATCCAGCCACAGCAGGAGCTCCAGAGACTTTCGCCTGCCAGGATACAGGCACCTGCAGCAGCCCTCTAGCCTCAGCCAGGGCAGCACCTCTGCCCTGCGCAGGCCTGGCTCTGGGGGTAAGAGCTCAGAACAGCCTGCACTGTAAACTGGGCAATAAAGGGCTAGTCTAACTCCAGTTACACCTTCCTAACTACAGCAGGTACCCGAGGCTGGGCTCTGCACAGCCAGCCAAGTCTGTTAGGTGTGGTGGCACTGGCAGGTGGCAGTGTGGACAGGTGACATTTCTCCTTTGGCTGGTGACTGGGTGGACCTGGAAGTCAGTGGAGAGAAAGGAATGGGCAGGAGCTGAACTGTGTCCAAGTGATAAATGGGTGTCTGAGTCCACAGGGATGGACTGGAATGGCTGGGGAGTCGAACGTTGCCTGGTGGGGCTGGGAGGATGGTCAGATGCATGAGTGGCACTTGTCTGTATGGGGGAAGAGGGGCAGGAGAGCTGAACTGCTCATTGCAGCACGTGGGGTTGCAAATAATGTCATTTTAGGTGCATGACATCAGTAAAAGCCTCTGAAAAGCTCAGGCTGCTGGTGCCTCCCCCAGACGTTTTCAGGCAGAGCTGAAACAAGGGGCTGTCCTCACTGGGAGCAGGACTTGTGCCAGCTCAGGCTGTGCTTTTGGACAGTGGGAGGTCACCTGTGGGTTCAGTCCATCAGAAGGTGCAGCCAGTGAAAACATAAACCTGCTTTGCCGTGTTAAATGTGCTAAAAGTGTTGGGAGGGGAGGAAGAACCGTGCATGGGGAGAGAGGTGGGAATGGCAGGGGGTGTTCTGCTGAGGTGGGAAGTGTCTGCCCATGGACAGGGAGGAGTGGCAGCTGGGCCAAAAAGGGGAGTGGGGCTTGAGAGGGGTGACAAGGGCTCAGTGTAGAAGGCTGCCCTGAAAAGTCAGGCCTAAGGAGAGGGAATAAGGCCGGGGTGCCAGACCTGCACCACAGGAATCGGGGCCGTGCCCCTTGCTGTGTCTCTGCCCTGCTGTGGGAGAGGAGCTGAGTGGGGGACTGAGGGGGAGGGACCGTGGGGCAGTGCCAGGCACCCCATAACGGAGCTGTGTGGCATCCCCAGGCTCGGACAGGTACCCCAGCTCCAGGGACGCCTCCCGGCTCAGCAGCCGGGACCCCTCGTCCTGGACGGTGGAGGAGGTGATGCAGTTCATCCGTGAGTCAGACCCTCAGCTGGGCCCCCACGCTGACCTCTTCCGAAAACACGTGAGTGCCACGCTTCCTGTTCAGTGGGGGTGTTACATCGGGGAGGGGGCAAATCACACAGCAAAATCCACGAGAGTCACAACACGGCAGCACTTCAGACCAGATGGAGTTCTGTGCTCGATGAAAAGATCCTCATAAATCTGCTCGTGTCCTGTCCAGGCTTGGATCCTGATCAGAGCCCATGGGGTGCATGCAGAGCCTCTGCAGTGAGTCCCAGTGCTGAAAACACGAACTCTGCTCCTCCTGGAGTCTAATCCTCAGCTCGTGGCAAATTTCTTCTGGCAAGAAACACATTCCAAGTGGGATTCACAGAGTGCATTGCTGCTCAGCTCCTGTAACAGGAGTCTCATAAGGCTCTGGTCCCTGTGCACATCTGTAAGTGTAAAACAGCTGCAGACACAGCAGGGAGTTTGTAGCATTCCAGCTACAAGAGAGGTTTGGCAGTTGTGTGTCCTGAGGCCTGCGAGAGCTGTGTTCCCTCTGCCTTAGGATAAAGTCCATGTTCTGGGCCCAGCACTGTGTCCTGCTCTGGGCTGGCTCTGACCCAACACTTCTCTTTTAATTTGTTCTATTTTAGAAATACCAGTAACTGAGAAATGTTTGTTTTAATTATGAAAACCTGCCAAGGGACCAAAGTGCCCTGGATTGTCAGTCCTGAGGAGAACCTTGCTTTCATCTCTGGAAGGGAAAAACAGATCAAACCTGGTACTGGAGATCCCTGGAGATCTCACCAACCTGAAAGCAGCTGAGCTTTGACATAGGGCAGGATTTTCTGTTGTTTGAGGTTGTGACTTTTATTTTTCACTTACAAGCCAGTTAACATTTTCTTCTTGGAAAACTGTCCAGTGCAAAGCTCTGGACCCAGCCTGGACTGGGTCATGGACAGGAGTGCTGCAAGGGACTGGGAGACTTCCACTTGCAAATGCCAAGAACAAAGCTGTTTCCTGGTTATTCTAAGTTTCATGATCCATCCCCTCCTTAGTCTCAGGAGGGACGCATCTGGCTCTGCTGTAAAGCATCAGATGCTTTGAAAGCTGCTGCGTTGGAATCAGCCCCACTGGGGATGAGGAGCTCCACCACTCTCTGCCAGTGGCTGGGAATGTGCTGTGAAGCTCCAGAAATAGAACCACAGAATCACTCAGGTTGGAAAAGCCCTCTGAGGTCATACAGTCCAACACTCCCTCAGCCCTGCCAAGGCCACTACTAAACCATTTTCCCAAGTGCCACATCTATGTGTTTTTTTGAACACCTCAGGGATGGTGATTTCAGCCTGTGCCAGTGCCTAACCACCCTTTCAGGGAAGAGATTTTCCAGATATCCAGTCACAGAGCATGGGCTCTTTGGGTTTCAGGATCTGTTCCCTCACCTCCATCTTCAGCCGTGACTTCAGGGCTGTGTGTGTCACAGCAGGGCTGTCACCATCAACGCATCCTCCGCCAGATTTCTGCTGCGCTGGGATGGCAATGTCCTGGAGTGAGCCATTGCTGCCCTGCACTGCCACTGCCTCTGTCAGGGAAACCTCCCTTCTCCTTCCTCCCCACCTCCCTTCAGCATGTGCTGGCCCTCTGGAAATGGCTCCTGGATGATGATCACCCAGCAGAATTCCCGTCACACACAGGATCCAGGGCTGCAGCAGGCTGGATGTGGGGCTACCTGTGCTGTCCATACTGGGATGTCCCTACTGGGATGTCCCTACTGGGATGTCCATACTGGGATGTCCATACTGGGATGTCCATACTGGGGTCTCCATGCTGGAATGTCCATACTGGGATGTCCATACTGTGCTCTCCCTGCTGGGATGTCCCTACTGGGATGTCCATACTGGGATGTCCATACTGGGATGTCCATACTGGGTTCTCCATGCTGGGATGCCCATACTTGGGGTCTCCATGCTGGGATCTCCATACTGGGGTGTCCATACTGAGATGTTCCTGCAGGCATGTCCATACCAGGGTGTCCATATTGGGGTCTGTGTGCTGGGATGTCCCTGCTGAGATGTCCATCCTGGGATGTCCATACTGGGGTGTCCATACTGTGCTCTCCCTGCTGGGATGTCCATACTGGGATGTCCCTGGAGGGACGTCCATACTGGGATGTCCCTGGAGGGATGTCCCTGCTGGGATCTCCATACTGGGATGTCCATACTGGGATCTCCATGCTGGGATGTCCCTACTGGGATGTCTCTGGAGGGATGTCCATACTGGGATGTCCCTGCAGGGTTGTCCATACTGGGATGTCCCTGGAGGGATGTCTATACTGGGATCTCCCTGCTGGGATGTGCACACTGGGATGCTGCTGAGCAGGGCTCTCTCACCCAGCCCTGCTGTTGCATTTTGGGCCCGGCCTGGCTGGGGCAGGGCTGGGGCTCCCAGGTGCCACCACAAGCACCGTGCTTGGTCCTTGCAGGAGATCGACGGGAAAGCGCTGCTCTTGCTGCGGAGCGACATGATGATGAAGTACATGGGGCTGAAGCTGGGGCCTGCCCTGAAGCTCACTTACCACATCGACAAGCTAAAGCAAGGCAAGTTCTGAGAGGACTCCTGGCAGGATGGATCCTGGAAGCTCCGCTCCGGCCGCCCCACCCGCGCTCACCTGCCGACAGGTTCGCATGCACACGCCCCCTCCGCCGCAGCAGAGACACTCCCGGCCCCGACAGCGCCCAGGAGGAGCCCGGCACAGCTCCTGTGGGCAGCTGTGGGCCTTGGAAGCGGAGGGTTTCTTCCCTGCTGCCAGCCAGCACTTCTCTTCCCTGGGATGGAGCAGCTCCAGGCAGTGCCCGGGCACTGGGTGTTTGCCTCGGCTCCTCCGCTCTCACCGTGGCTCTGCGCTCCTGCTGGGGCAGCCCTGGGCACCGAGCCTGCCCGGGCTCCAGGGGCAGCCCTGGGCACCGAGCCTGCCCGGGCTCCAGGGGCTCCAGGGGCACCGAGCCTGCCCAGCCTGGCGGGGCTCGGTGCCCCCAGCCTGTCCTCAGCCCTGTGCAGCACAGCGAGCTCAGAGCTGTGACCAGCCAGCCCTGTCTCCCACTGGGGCAGCCCATCCACCCCGCTCTGCCTGCCCCCAGCTCCTGCCCTGCCTCCAGCTGGGCACACCGGGCCTTCAATGTATTCCAACCTGGGGAGGCTGTGTGGGAGCACGGAGAGAGCAGGGGGAGCTGAGGAGTGGGGCTGGGCCTGGCGTGCCCCTGGCACAGATGGGCCTGGGCTGGTGTTGGAGGTTGCCTGGATGCTGCAGGACTCAGCTGATCCTTCTCGCCTTTTTTTTTCTTTTTTTTTTTTTTCATTTGGAATTTTTTTTTTTACTAAGGAGTTTCAAACTATGAGATGATTTTTCTACCTGTGTTGAACTCGCAGCTGTTGGTGATTTTTAGCCAGAGCTGCTAAGGTTTGTCTTCCCAGGGGCACTCCTGCTCCTCTAGAGTTTGTCCCAGCTCAGCGTGTGTGAGGGTTTTGGGTCTGGCCAGAGCATCCCAGGGTGGTGACCTGTCCTGGCATCGCTCTTCCTGTGAGGGCTTTGCCCTTCCCGAGGCACCTGTTGGTCTCAGGCAATTTAATGTATTTATTTTTGATGGCACTTGAGTGCTTCCCGTGGTCCCAGATACGTTTCTGCAGCTGCAGGAGGAGTGTCGGAGTGGAGCCACCAGCTGTGTCACCGCAGTGTCCCCCGGACAGCAGCTGCATCACTGTCACCAGCCTGGCCTGAGTGGGACAGGGGTGACAGTCCCCAGTGTGTGCCCCCAGCTCAGCACACTTCCTCTGCAGTGACCCAAGGGCTGGGACGGAATCTCCACTCCGAGCACTTCTGTTCCCAGCCCACCTCTGCATCCGGAGCTCCCGGCTCAGCCTCGAGGGCCTGGCCGGCAGCAGGACCGACCCTGTGGTGACCAACCCTCCAGGCTCTTGCACTGAGTCAGGTTTACCCCTAAGGGGCAAAGTTGCAAAAAAAAAAAAAAAAGAAAAAAAAGAAAAAAAAAAATACCCCAACCCCCAAAGTAATAAAAAGGCAAAATGGCTTTTTGTCCTGTAGCTCAGCCTGTGCCAGCCCGGGGCTGGGGCCCCTCGGTGTGAGCCGGCCCCGGCGGGGTCAGCCAGTGCTTTCCTCTGCACTTATTTTACCTTGATTTGTTTATAAATAAAAGAATACCAAGTTCCTGGCCGCGGTTTGTGCACTGCTGGCAGCGCAGGGCTGAGCCCCGGTGGGGAGGGACAGCAGGGCCAGGATGGGGATGGAAGGCACAGCGTGTCCTCCCTGAGGCACCCCAGAAGCACAGGGGGCCCTTGGGTGAGGGTGCTCCCAGGACGTGTCCCTGCACCCAGAGCCAGGGCTGAGGCTGCTCTGGGGAGAGCAGTGGTGGCACTGACACCCCACATCCCCCAGCTCTGACCAGGGGCCTGGTCCTGCATGTCCTGCACAGGGCAAGAAACATCCCAGCTGTGGAGGAGGGGGTGGGACAAACCCTCCCAGGGCAGCCCAAAGCCCCTGGAAAGCCTTTCCTGCCCTGCAAAGCCCACAGGCTCAGCCCAGGCTCCCCAGGTTTCTCCAGGGCTGGAAGGAAGCTCAGAACTTCAGAGCTCCACATCTAAACCCACTGTGAATACAGCTCACAAGTTTTTGCTAGCTTAGAGGGGATTAATTCAAGATTGGGCATTTTTGTACTCCGAGCAGGCAGGAACAGAGCAGGCTCAGGGCTCCTTACTCAGTTTGTTACAAATGAGCATTTAATGACCGAGTCAGTTGCACTGTTTTGGCCAAAACAAACATTTCAGGAGGAAAAAAACACAGTTGTGCTGCAGCTGAGAGAGGATCTCACCGTGCCCCAGGACAGCCAGGCCAGGGCAGGACTGGGCAGCAGCAGAGCACTGCAACTGGAGAATTCCTGCACAGCAGCTGGAACTGGCACATCAGGAATGCTCCAAGCTCTCCGGGCTCACAGCAGCTTTACGGGGAATATTTAAAACAACTGAGGACTAAAGCAAGGGGGGCTGGGGAGGGACAGGGTTTAGTTTTGTGGCTCAGCCAGGTGTGACCATGCAGCTCTCCCAAAATCCACGGAGCTGCTGAAGTCTGAGCGTGCAACACCAGACAAGGGAGACACTTTCCTTCCTTCCTTCCCCCTCCAAGGCCACACAGGGGTTGTTCATGGCTGCAGCAGGCAGGGAACCGAGACAGCTCAGCCCCTCAGCACCGCTCAGCTGGACAGCAGCAGCCACCGCCCGAGGCAGCAGCACTGAAGGGAGCTGAGCCCTCGCTCAGAACAGCCCTTGGAGGAGGAAGGCTCCCATTGCAGGAGCCCAGACACGGCTCCAGCGTGGACAAAAAGGCAACAAAAGGCTCCGCTTCAAATCCACGAAAAAGCACCAGGAGCTGCTGTGTCCCAGGCCAGGGACACAGGTCAAGGCAGCAGTGGAAGTGGTTCAGTGGTTCACTCTGTTCTCACCTCCCCCTTGATGCAAGGGGTCGGAGTTTCCCAGCCCAGGAGCAGCTCCAGGAGCACAGGAGGGCTCACACGGACCCCTGGGGTCAGGGCTGCCCTGGCACTTTGTTCTCCTGCCACCCCACCTGATCCCAGTTAATCACATCCCTGCAGTGACACTCAGCCAGAGCTGAGCGTGTTCCAGGGTAACACTGCTCCAGGAAGATCTTCCTGGTTACAAATTCATAGTGACAATGAATGCACCAAGAGCACCAATGCCAAAGGTTTGCAAATGCTACTGAGAAAACAGAAACAAACCAAAAATCATCCCCTTCCCTTTTCCCTGAAAAAAAAAAAAAAAAACCAAACCAAAAAGGCTGCATGAAGCTGCCCAGAGCCCTCTCTGCAGCACAGACACTAAGCCAGCCCCCAAAATCTTGTGCCACCCATAATTCCACCAGTAAGTAAAGCCTGAGGAGGGAGCAGAAAGACTGGAGAAAGCAGCTCCACTGTGTCCAAGGCACCCTGCACTGGGAAGGACGTGTGCCATGGGATTCCCCTCAACACAGCAAATCCCACACCCCAGTTTGCTTCGACCTCCAAGCTGGTGCAACTGAAGGAAGTTGGGAGGGGCCTCTGTGAACTCTCCTCCACAAATAACCAAGATCTATAGAGAAAATAAAGGAAGAGCTGAGGAAATAAGGGACAGGATCTCAGAACAAAAATTATAAACCCATAAGTTAGGAAAGCCCAAAGCTGAGGGTGTTGAAGCTACTGCTGTAAGAACACCTGGAAAACCTAATGGAGACTCCTCTCTGCAGCAAGGACACACCTGGAGAGGGAGAGAGAAAAGGAGCAGGAATTACTGACAGGCTGGAACTGCACAGCACTGGCCAGAGCCCTGTGCCCAGCTCGGGTGTCTGCCAGCTTCACAGGGGCACTGTGGCACCTCCAAGGGGACTGGGCTGCTCCCCTGGACACAGGCTCCTTCCTCACAGAGCACAGGACTGAACCCTGCCCATGGCCAGCACAAAGCAACGTTTTCACTGTGGTGCAGCCCTCGGAGAGCTGGGCTGAGACAAGTCCCAGGGACACGGCCACCCTCCCCACAGCTTCCTCCAAGCCACCAGACCTGCCCCATTAGGGAACGCAGGGAATACTGTCAGGGAGACCAAGGTTCAGAGTACCTTTAGGATCAAAATTTACAGGGAGAATTCTTCAGCTCTTGGTGTTGTGGAACAGCCCAACACCCAGCAATCACATCTGGCCCCAGTGCTGTGCCCAGGGATGGGGAGCAGTCCTGTGACAGACTGGGGCTGACCCTGCTTTCCCTCTGCAGCACTCTGGAAGTGCCAGGAACACAAAGGAAGGGGCAGGACCTCTTCAGTGCCCTGGCACTCAGCACTGGAGCCCTGCTGTCACCCCACAGGTGTGCAGATGCTGCCCAACTCCTGCAAAACCCCCACACAAACCAGCCAGAGCAGGGGCAGGTGTCACACCCATGATCACCCACTGCACAGAGGGAGAATGCAAATTTAAAGTCTGCCTGTTTTGCTGGTGCAGTCTGAGTGCCAGGTTTTAGTGCCTTCTCCTTCGCAGGACTGTGTCCATCCAGTTTTCACATCCCTGTAACAGCTGCAGCCCTTACAGAGCCCTAGGTCTGACAGAACTGCTGTCCCAGGAGATGGACACAACGGATACTTCCAAGATATTATTTTACTACAGTGAGGGACTGCAAAATAATGAATTTCCTAAACCCAGCAACCCCTTATGCAGCTCTGCCCTCATTTTCAGGTGTGCTCCACTAATGCTTTTATCCAAATCTAACCCCAAATTCCTCTGTTTGTATTTCTGTTTTATTGTGTGTCACTTTGCTAAGGGGACACCCATCCCCAGCTGTTGCACAGACAGGCAGTACCCAGCCCTCAGCACAGCTGGAACACGTGTGAGCACCAGCACATCTCATGGTGCCCCAGCTTTCTACCAAAAACTTCTTTGCTCAGTTGCCAGGAGCAAAGACTGGCCAAGAAATGCTTTCCAAAAGGAAGAGGCTGAGGTCATTAAACATTACCAGGAATCAGTCATGATTTGCTGAAGGGAACTTCAGCTCTGTTATCTCCAGGTCAGGAGAGCTGCTGCCACTCCGGTCACTGTAAGTGTCCCTGCAGGAGTAAAAGATTTGGGGTTAAGGGAGCACAAGGGCTTTAAGGACAGAAAATTCATGTGGGATGCTGCAGCACAGGGAAAACTTCAGCTCCTCTGCTGCTAGGAGCCATTTCAAACTCAAACGTGCAAAAGCAGAGAATTCAAATATCCCTCCACCCTTGGAGGCACTGAAACGAGAGTGCCTCACACATGAAACTCTTCTGGACCACACCTGACCACTCTGATGTCACCAACACAGAAATCCCACGGTGCAGCTGCACTGCAGCTCAGCCCACAAAGCAACCACTTTCCTTTTGGCATTATATTTGCCTGGGTTTGACACAGGCACTGCTATTTCTCCTCTGCCTTTGCTCTGGTTTTTGTTTAGTGCCTGTCAGCACTCAGCAACCCCTCGATGCCCTCTGTGAGGAGGAGAACGGGCCAGTACCAAGTGTTTGCTGCACAGTGCTGAGTGCCAAAGGGAATTGCAGGCACTGGGGAACTGCACCACTAAATCCATCCAAAACATCACTTGCTTTGCAAACTGAAACAAAGAAAGCTGAAGTTAGAATAAAAAAAATAAAAAAAAAAAAAAGAGGCTGCAACCAGCAGGGCCTGTTCTTTAAACCAGCAACAGGAACAAGTTTCTTATGGACTAACCTGGTACGTGGGACTTGTGTGAGGAATGTAGGGAAAAGGCCACGAGGTCTCCAGTCATGTAAAAGAGCAGGCCCAACCTCAGTTTCCCCAAAGACCCCGACTGACACAGCACAAGCGCCTCTCCCTGAAGACAAGGCCTCTGTGCAGGACAGCTCTGTGGCCCCACAATCAGCCTCAACACACCAGAGAGGGGAAAGAGGGGTGGAAGGAAAGAAGAAGGGGTGGAAGGAAAGAAGAAGGGGTGGAAGGAAAGAAGAAGGGGTGGAAGGAAAGAAGAAGGGGTGGAAGGAAAGAAGAAGGGGTGGAAGGAAAGAAGAAGGGGTGGAAAAATACCAAGTTATCCCCAGGAGCTGTGTGCCAAGAGGATGCTCTGAGTTATCCTGCAGGAAGCAGCACTGTCCTGTGACAGCTCTGACTGGGATCTGCCTTAAACCCACCTGGGGGAGAGCCTGCAGCCCTTCTGCAGGTAGTGGGTGAGTCTCCCTGCAGATGCCAGGAGGAGCCCAAAGTATGGGGGTGATGGCTTGATGGGCCTGGAGAGGAACTCGGGGTGATACTGAACACCAACAAAGAAAGGATGCTCTGAGAGGAACAAACAAAACATTCATGTCAAGTCTCTCAAGCTTGTGGCTGAACTGCAGGTAAAATCCTGATAATGTTGAAGCCCTGATGATGGGGAAGTATCATTTCCATTTTTGTCCATAAATGGAGAGCAACATCGGATTTTATTTTATTTTTACCATCATTTTATGGATGGAACTGAGACAGTGTGAACGGGTCCCCCATGAAAACCTGCTCCATTACCCTCCAACACTTTCCCTTGTCCATCCCACACCCACAAACCAACTGCTGAAGGACTCACCTTCCAGCTCAACCACTTCCATCCGCTCTCCCTCCTCATCCTGCCCCACAAACTTCAGACCTTGCTCTTCAAAACACTTTTTCAGTTCTGGATTGACCTAGAACACCAAAAGCAAGACAAACCATGATCTCTTGTGTCTGGATTACACAGGAAAGCTCAATACCTATATGAGCATTTTTACCTCAAATCTGTGTCTGTGTCTCTCTTCCAAGAAATCATGATCTCCATACAGCTTCCCTGCAGCAGAAGTAAGATGTTCTTAGAGCAGTGATCACAGCTTTTAGCACATTCACTTGTCAGCATCCTTCAGAATCTGCTGCTTCTGGAGGGGATCAAATTCCCTGATCCCCATTCCCCACCAGAACAGCCTGTGAACACCTGGCATTCAAGGATGCTTCAACATGCCCAGGTCTCACTTCCCCATCCCACACACATGCAAGCCATTCCCAGGAAACATTTCCAGAAGAGGCAAGAAGTGCCTTACTCATGATTGAATTCTTAGTTTGGAAAAGTGTCCTCCTCTTGCCAAGCCTCATTGTCCCACCCATTTGACCAGGATTATGTTCTGGCATGTCTATGACCTGTGGAAAGAATTCAGAGGGAGGTGAGAATCAGGGAGGAATAAGAGTAACAGGCAGACTCTGACACATAAAAAGAAAAAGAAATCCCACCAACATTCATGCAAAAAACCAAGAAAACCACCCCAGGAACACTGTCTTGACACGGCAGACCAAGAGAACTAGGTTAGCTGGCTGAGTTGTTCAGTACAGGCTGCACAGGACATATATGGGAGGTTTGAGGATATTCAGGGAACTTTCACAGAACTCAGAGTTTACACAGATTGCACACACCAATACTGTGCTGTTTACTGAACTGCAGTGTTAAACAAACAAGCACATTTATGGAAAAGCCCAAATCAGAATGGCTCGCTCTTTGATAAATAACATCATAAATTGTTTTCTGATAACTTCCTCACTTTGAGTAGCATTTTAAATTACAGGAGAAGCCAACCATTATGGCAGACCCTGCACCAGAAACACAGAGCCTTTCACAAATGCTCCCAGGAATTCAGGTCTGTCTGGAGCTATCATACAACAGTTGGAGTTGGAAGGAACCTTAAAGCTCATCCAGTGCCACCCCTGCCATGCAGGGACACCTTCCACTGACCCAGACTGATCCAAGTCCTGTCCAGCCTGGCCTTGGACACTCTGAGGGATCCAGGAACAGCCACAGTTTCCCCTGGAAATCATGCCCAGGGATGTGCAGGGAAGTCAAGTAAGGATATCACAGGTAAATCTCCATAAACTCACCACTGGATGAGAAGTTTTGGGGTCAAACTCTGTTGAGTTTGCATCTGCAAGGTAACGTTCAGCAGTCAGGAACACAGAGAGGCTCACACCATGGCATCCCCTCCAGGACTGCCCCAGGGCCAGCTGCTCCTCATCCCCAGCTGTGCTGAGCCCCCTCAGGCACAGAACACCCCAGGCAGCAGAACAGGGCTGTCAGCACTGTTCAGTGTCCATTTCAAAGGCTGCAGTTGTAGGATAACCCACCCTCATTCAGGAAAAACACACATTCAACAGCTTCAAATACAGAAATAAAGGCAGGGAGGGGGAAAGGAGCAGAATGGTCAGAGAAACTCCTTTTTCCCCACCCTCATTACTGGATAGAATCAAAGAGTCAGGCTGAGAACTTAATTTAGCACTCTCTGAAGGGAGTTCTGTTAACAGGGACCTGCTCAATCCAAGCAGTGAGGCTCAGAAGGTAACTCCACTCACTGAAGGAGCTGCAGCTGCTGGCTGGCTGAATTGTTTTTTGGGTTTATTCCCACTGGCTGCAGTGGGAATTTAGCTGCCAAGGTGTTTCATTCAGGAGCTAACAATCTCATGTTGAGCAATAGGAAGCTTTCTGTCATTACAAGCATGACTAACTCCATTGATTTTTATTCAAATAGGTTAAGGAAATTCCTCTTTTTACTTTGAATTAGCAAAAGAGATAGGGATTTTTACAGGTCTAGGTAAAAAAATTAAACCTACCTATGAAAAATTTTAAATCACAGTATCTAAAAAAATCACAGGTATTACTCAAGCAACCCAAAGGCAGGAAGTTTTGTGCCATTACCTTGCCAACCAAGGACACTGCGAGCAAACTCCACCACTGCCAACTGCATTCCCAAACAGACTCCTGTGGAGGAAAGGCAGGACATGGATCAGGGCAGGACAGGAACTCTGAGCCCACACAGCATCCTGAGTCACAGAAAACCTGCATGAGGCAGATCTTGGACTGGGACTCGGGGATCTGTAGTCCTGACAAGCTTTACCTCCCCCCTTTCCCATCCCCTCTGCTCATACACCAGTCAAGTCTCTCACCACAGACACTTCACTGAAATGCAGTCTCATGTTTCCTGGTGCCAAGATCACCACAGCCTGATCTAAAACATGCCCAGACTGCCATCCCCTCATTACAGACTCCTTCTCAGCACATCCCAGCCAACTCTGACCACTTCAGAGCTAACCAGGGCTGAGGCTGCATTCCCTGCTCAGCACAGATCCCTGCCTTCCTCAGACAGCTGCCTCCAAAACTGCTCATCCCAGACACCAGTGAAGATCAGGGGAGCTCCTGCTGCACACCAGTTAGGCTGTTGTTCAACTTCCTTTCCTTTATTTCTTCTTATGGATTAAACACGTTTCTCACCTAAAAAGGGTTTTTTCTGTTTCCTTGCCCAGGAAATAGCTTGAATTTTGCCTTCTGTCCCTCGAACACCAAATCCACCAGGAACCAGAACTCCACTGCACGAGGATGAAAAGATTCCATTCAGCATGGTTGTCCCAAACCACACACCCACAAATCGCCTCCCTCCCATGAAATCTTGGCCTTGCAAGACCTCTCTCCTGAAAAGGGCTCTGAAGTAGCCATGAGGCAAGGCCTGGCTGCAGCAGTTTCCACATGACTTCACATGAGCTGTCATCACATAAAGAGGGGGAAATATTTCATAAATGCCAATTTTACCTTCCCAAAGAGAGATCCCAAATCTATCACAGGTTACCATGCTGAAATGGTTCATGCTGTGGGACTCACACACCCTGTATCAAACATGTTTGCAAACACATCACCCAGCCAGGCCCATGCTGAGGAAACCCCTGGCTAAATGTCAGGTTTTCCTAACACCAAACTCTGCAGGAGGTTCTTTCTTCTGCTCTCACACAAATCCTGCTGGCCCTGAGGGGTAACAAGCCCCACTTGTTCTTGTTTTTGTGCTAATTCTTGGCACTCCTCTGCATACTAACGCTTTTCCCCCCTCTCACATTTTATTTATGAAGAACTTGTTACTCCATTTACACCTTCCATTCTCACTCTGGCTTTAACAGCCTTCACCAGTACCTTTCCTTTCTCCTGATTTCCTCTCACTGTTTCCACCTGATCATGCAGGTGGGCATATCCTCACCAGCATGATCATTTCTCCCACTTCCCTCACTGATTTAACAATTCTCCATTTAATGTCTTATCCTAAATGCACCTGACAGGTGTTTGGGGCCTCGCCAGAGTGTGCTGAAAACAGTTTATCAGACGTTCTCCAAGGAAAGGGCCACAGCAGAACTTACTCAGCACCACAGAGCTTCTGCCACGCCTCGTGGTACCTGACAGGCTCCTCCTGCAGAGTGTCTGGCTCCAAGTCAGCAGAGTCAATGTACTGGGAAGAAATCCAAAAAAAGGATGATGAGGTATTACCTCAAGAGTGTACAGGATCTCCTGAATCCTCACTAAATTAAGACACCATCATTCCTCCTGGACAGCTCTGGATTTGTTTCCTAATGGATAGTTTTTTCTGGGCTGATTTCCCATCTGTTAGCCAACAAAACTCCTTTCCTCACCATTCTGCTCTTGGTGCACATACAGAACCCATTTCTCTGTCCTCCCCTCTCTGCAGCTCTGCTGTGACTTACACCAAGGCCCTGAGCCCCAGCCTGTAATGTTCAATGTGAGGTGTTAATGCAGGGTGGGAACAGGGGGCTGTGCAGACTCAAACCACCACAGAGAAAGGGGGGGAACTATCCCTCTCTCATAAAATAAACATCTCCTTCAAAAGGCACGGCAGAAGAAATAGGCTATGGTGAAACACAGGCTGCTGTAATTAAAGGGTGTTACGACAATGGAAAAAACCCCTGCACTTTTTCCATTTTCTCATCTCCAGCATTCCAGTACCTCTGAACTTCTGGATGTTCTGGCAGGCTGCTAACCCTTTTAAGGAACCATTTTGTCCTTTTTTTGTTTGTTTTTTAGAACTTGCAAAACTACCAACCAGTTCCTTAACCAACCACAGCTACTCAGTTCTTCAGCACGAGATCTCCCTGCACAAGGCTCACAGAGCTCACTTCACTTCTGAGCCACTCAGACACAGCTGTGCCAGGGTCTGTACTTTACCTGTCTTTCTTGTTTTGCTTATTTTCACCTCTGCTGATTTTGGAAGCTGAAAGGAAAGCCTGACCTCTATCAGTACTGTTAAAAAGCAACCACATCTTTCCATGACTCACTGACATCATGGGACTGCTGAACATTTAGAAGTCTATTGAAATGAAAATAAAATTTCTAGTAACAGGTACATATTTCACCTCTTCAGAGCATTCAGCTATGATCAAGACCCCTGAAAGCACCTGTGCATCCAAACCAGCATGAAAACCTTAATAAAGCCTGAGGCAGGAGCATAATAAAACCAGAGTACCACAAGGTTAACAGCAACCCCCAAAACAAATCACTTGCAACAAGTGTCAGAGAAATGAAAGCAGAGTGTCCCCCTGCAATCCACCCATCACTGTCACAGCCCAGCACACAACAGTGAGCACTGAGGAGATTCCAGCCACTTCAGCTCACAGGAGGAGAGGCTGGTTTGCTCTGAAGCTGGTTTAGGCCTGATAACAGCTCTTTCAATCAAAACAGTTGTTTTGATGCAAGGATAATTTGGATGTTCAGTGGCTGAATCACTTCTCCCTTTCTGCCTATGGGTTTGTGAAAATCTGAATTAGGATAGGCATCACTGCAGGTGGAAGTAGGATGGGTGGAGATTTTTCTCCACACTCAGACCCATCCCTACCTTAATGTCAAGTTTGTGGTTGATGGCCAGGGCAGAGTGCTCCAGGGCTTTGATGACAGATGCATAGGAGTCAGAAAACTTGGTGTATTTGCCCACCAGTGCAATGGAACATGTTTCAAGCAGACGGTCATACCTGCAGAACACCAGAACACACAGGTTATTCCAGCAGTAACAGGAGAGGGAAGGAAGTCAATTCTGTTCAGCTTTCCAAGGAACAAACAGCTGTGTTCTCCTAAGTGTGTCCAACAGAGCTGACGTCTTTGGAAGAGTGACCTTTTATAATAATTATGATTTAGAAACATCAAAGCAAGATCAAAACCAGAACAATGACGGAGGAAAACAGTTGCAGAAAGCCATATATAAATTAACTTATCTCCCCTGATGATGAAAAGCCATTCTGAGCAGATCCAAGCTGCCTTTTCAGGAAGCTGTATTAGATTCAAAGGCTGCAGTGAACTCCTAGGAGAGGATCAAAGCACAGCTTGGTATATGTTTGTACTGCACAGCATCTTCCCACGCTGCTGCTGAGCTCGTATCAGCAGCTACAAACACAGAAAGTATTTCTGCAGTCCTAAGGCTGTGCTGCCTCCACTTTCAATCCCCAGCACCTGGCAGCACAGGACTCAACACAGCATTCCTGGCCACAGCCAAGAGTTTGTTTAAAGTTTCTCTCAGAATTGCTAAATACCTTCAGCCCAGCTGGTGACAAGAGCATTCCCCATCAAAAGGAAATGTTACTGACAGGGCTGGCTTATGTCAGGCACAGAAATCAAGGAAATCATCCAGATCTTGAAAATTAACTTCTTATAAGAACAAGCATAGTTAAGGCTTCAGCTGACATTCAAACCCTTTCTGAAAATACTCTATTTCCCCATGAACATGGAGTCTATTCCTCACAAGAAAAAACCCCAGTGTCCAAGGAGTCTCAATACAAGTACCAAACACTTGTCTCACTTGCCTGAAAGCACACTCAAAGATGTTCTTTGACACTCCTGACATGTCCATATAGTTACACAAGGATTTCAACTTGGTAATGTTACTGAGAGGTTTTTTTATAAAAAGGGAGGACAGAGGTGTCCAGCTTTTAATTACTTGAAGCTGAGTTTGACTCAGACAGTACACTTCCAATATAAGATAAGGATCTCATAAGTTTATCTCACAGGATTTTATGGAGAAAGGCTGAGGGAACTGGGGTGATTCAGCCTGAAGAAGAAAAAGCTCCAGGGAGACTTTATGGCAGCCTTCCAGTAAGAGGATTTATAAGAAACATAAGGACAGACTTTTTAGTAGGGTCTGCTGTGCCCAGACAAGTGGTGATGGTTTTAATCTAAAACAGAAGAGATTTAGGCTAGATAGAAGGATGAAATTTTGTACAATGAGAGTGATGAGGCACTGGCACAGGTCATCTACAGCAGCTGTGGATTCCCCACCTTGGAAACATTCAAGCTTGGATGGGGCTCTGAGCAAAAGGAAAAAAACAATGTGAACATGTAAGAACAGTTGAGGAATAGGGAATAACACTCATCATCTCAAACAAGCAACAGCCAAGAACAGAAACCAATCCTGAAGTGTGCTGCAGTGTGCCCAGCAATGCAGCTCACCTGTCAGCCATCTCCTTCCACTTCATGAGCATCCTCCTGGGCTGCCTCTCGATGGGAAGGTCCAGCCTGTGCCTGAAGTAATCCACAACTCCCTGCTCCTCCAGCAGCAGAGGAACCCGGTAGATGGAGGAGACATCATGAACACAAATGACCTGTTCATAAAATAAGGATATCATTGCAACACAGCCATCCAGTGCCTGTACAATCATTTTTACTCAGATATTCAGAGTTCCTGTCTCTAGCAGAAAACCATATGACCACCTAGACTTCCAGGCAATAATGTGTTGAATAACATATCAATTCCTTATGCTTGAAAAAACCATTTTCAGCACTTCCAAGGCATTGCTGCTCCCTGGAGCCCCTTGGGAAGGGCTATAACACAGTAACCCAGCAGCAGGAGAGTCAGCTGCCCAGCACATTACGTGAGCAGCACTCAGCAAAGCTCAAAGAACACTCCAGAGAGACTCCTGTGATACAGAATCCCAAGTGAAGCTACAGTCAAACTGCCACAGGCACAGCATCCCCCTTCCCACCACTGTCCTTCCTAACCAGGGCTTGCAGTCTATGAGTGAAACCCAGGGAAATCTGTCACCCCCATACAGCAAAAAAAAAATTTACAGGGTGCCCCTAGTCAAATTTGGGATTACACAATTATGAGCAAAGAATTCTTAGGTCAATGAGGAAAATCTAAATCAACAGTTCTAGTTCACTGAAATGGGAAAAGATGGCTCAGGACAACTGTCACCTGTCCATTAATAATGAACCTGTACTTTAAAGATCCAAAACACACTGGCAAAACTTTTTGAAATCCTTATTTCAACTGACTCAAATGAAAGCAGGTTTCAGTACTGAAATCTGCACCAGTCAAACCTCCTTAGCTGCACATCTTCCTCTTTTACCCTCAGTGCTGTTCACTTCTCAATCCAAGTGCAACAGCAGCCAGAGCAACAACAATATAGAACTGCATTAAATTTCCTGGAAAGGGACAAGAGCCAACTTATTTTGAATTCCTAGCTAACAAGAGGTAGATATTTTACTGATGACACATCAACATTATTGCCAGCAGTGCAGTGCTCGAAATTGCAGGACTCAAGTTTGGTCTTGCTGTAGAACAGATTAATAAAAATTACTTGACAGAATCTGGGATTTCAAAGTTATATTCAGTCTTTCACAAAAAGACAACATTCTTCCAGCTCCAGCTGGATTAGAAAGTGCTAAAACTCTGTCTACATACCTTTGACTATTTTCCAAGATCCACCTCAGAATGTGTTACAAGTCTCAGTATAGAATCGTGCAAAAGTGGAATTTGTGCATATCACAAACTTCAAGTGAAGCAATGCTTCTCCCAAACACCATTTCAACCTCCCTGTGAAATCTCTCCTCACGAATTCTTGGGCAGAAGAATAATATTGTGAAAAGAGCAGTGTATGAGGTACAGTCATATATCCTTTCACCTCTAAATACTGGAAAATCTCATTCTTCTATGTTCACAGAAGGAATGTGGAACTGCAATTAAGGTCAAAACAGTGATTCAGAAATCACCTTAGATACCATAGAATCCTCTAAGCTTGCACCAATCACCTTACAAGAAAACCTGGGTGCTGGCACAAAAAGAATTGGTCCATGTGTCAGGAAGGGAGGCAAGACAAAGCAGCAAATGAATTATGCAGCTACCAGAACAGAGCTACAACTACTGCATTAGAAAAACTCCCCTCAGCATCTGACAAACAGCTCCAGTATTTACTGCAAGGAAGCACAGACAACAATCCTTACCTGTTCTGGTTCAACATGACAGAACATGGAAATCTTTTCTTTTACTGAGGTATCCAGTGGAGTGGAGCACCTGCAAACAATCTAACAGAGCAGCAACATCAGGGCTGTGACACCAAACAGAAACACTCAGGCATTCATAAAACAAACCTCTAAAAAGAGCTTTGTGCAGTCTCTGTGATTTGAGGAAAAAAACCCCACAACTCTATTTCTTTTCCTTATTTATCACCACTATACAAGAGCTCTCAAATTAAGCATTACTTAGACAAGACTGCTGTTGCAACATGCCAGATTTTTACATTCAAAGCCGTGCAACACAAACCTTACCAGATCTGGAGAGAGCCCGAGACCTCTGAGCTCACGAACACTGTTCTGGGTGGGTTTGGTCTTCTGCTCCCCTGTCGAGCTTGGCTGGGCAGAGAAGAGCAGTTGGTGCATCAGATTGTGATGACTGAGCAGGTTAATCAGGACTCTCAGACATCTCATAAGAACTTTGACTCAGTTCTTGGACAATTCACATGAACCTCACGTAGCCCCTTTTAATCCCCAGGACCCCAAGTTCCAGTCTGCCCACAGAAGTGCAAGAAGGAGAGGGACAGAGAGCCTAAGGTTTATCCACTGCTCCCTCCAAATACCTAATGTTGTGTATTTCTGATTTTTCTCTATAAAGCACCTGGCCTGGACAGAATGGGAAAAAGGAAAAAGAGAACAAAGATTGATCTGCACTCCGTAATTATCAATTTGCTCTGTCAAATCCAGTTCAGTATGACACAAGGAATGCTCATGCTGCATTTCTGCAACTCCCAAGCCTTTATTACATATTTACACCCTTTGAAGAGTTCCTGTTCAATTCCTATAAGACTTTTTAAATACATAAGCATATAATCTCTGCATTTCTGCCAGAAGTTTACATATACACAGAAATACAAAAGTAACAGCACTTAGAGATACAGCATTTCAGAAACACCTATGTAGGAAATTTTGGACTGAGGAAGCTCTGACCAGCAATATGTTTCAGGTCCTTACCTGGGGAACCAGACTGACGTGAATGTTACAGAAATTCTCTCTTTTGGCTTTGAACTGGAACTGGCGGAAGGCCTCGATGAAAGGCATGCTCTCGATGTCACCCACGGTGCCCCCGAGCTGGCAACACACAGACACTGGGAATTACTGCCAAAATAGCACCTGAGGTGTACACTAGAGACATGAAAACATACCTAACAATCTATTCTCCAGGTACTATTCTACCTTCATCATTTCCCCACAAATCAAAAAGCCACAAGAAAAACAGCTTCCCTTACGGGCAGCACCTCTCCAGAGACACTGGCTTGACTTCTATTTTCTCTTCAGAGAAAAGACTTAGATGTGAAAATTATGATTTATGAACATTAGGTGGCAGTGAGAAGCAAAATTTCTGTTAAGTTTTAGTAACTATATAGAGTGGACACATGCAAGACTACACTTGGAGCCTCCCAGGCCCCGTCAGACAGTGCCTCCTCGGTACTTGAGATCTGGGCTTGTGGTCCTGGCACAGAAATTGGCACCCCAGCTGCAGACAGAGTCCAAGTCACCATGACCTGGGCTCTGTGACAAGCTCCCTCTCCTGTGTTAGCATATCCCAGCAGCCAGCTCAGCAGTGTCAGAGCCTTCGCCCTGCTCCATCTCTTTCTGGCAGCAGAATGTTCATAAACTCGCTGAGAACTGCCACCACTAACTGGTGCCATTCCCTGTCGCAGGTCTGGGCTAGAACTGGTCACTTGGAGGAGGAAAGACAACTGTTTCCAGAGGGGGATTCACCTCCCCTCCCTCCACGCACCAAGGAAGAACAGGGCACAGCACAATTAATTCAGACTGGCAGATTAAGTTACAAGAGCTAAAAAAATTCATTCTGTAGGTTAATTCACAGAATATCCTGAGCTGGAAGGGATCCACTGAGTGCAGCCCCTGGGCCTGCCCAGACACCCCAACAACCCCACCCTGGGCATCCCTGGAGCTCTGGCAGCCTCGGGGCCGTGCCCATTCCCTGGGCAGTGCCAGCACCTCTGGGGGAAGAACCTTTCCCTGAGCTCCAGCCCAGCTCTCCCCTGACACAGCTCCAGCTGTTCCCTGAGGTCCTGTGGGGCTGCCCCTCATGAGGCAGCTGCAGGCTGCAATTCAAAATATTAGAATAAGTGAAGTTAACAAGGGGAATTTTTAAGCCATTCAATAACACACAAAGTTGAACATTTCTGTGAAGAAAAATGCAAAATATGCATATAGATCAGTTTACTGCATATAAGAAACAAAACTACTACTTTTTAGAAGTTACAAACCTCAATCACACAAACTTGGGGTTCAATGCCATCTTCATCCACAGGAATCCGTGCCTGCCTCATTACCCATTCCTGTATGGCATCTGTGATGTGGGGAACAACTGGAAAAAAAACCCAGGCAGGGGTTAAAGCCCCCATATGTTTCTCCCTCTTAACTCATTAGAGAGCAAATTACTGACAATCACTAGCCAGTGCTTCCCACAGGGCTTGAGCAGGAATTTTTGTCTTTAAAGAACTATGAATTTTTGAAGTGATTATTCTTGGCTGTGATTTTCAAGTGCCTTGGCAGGAAATTGAACCCTGCCTTAACTTAAACACACATAAGCAACATTTCCTTTAAGCAGAAAAATTCAAGCACAAACTGTTCTTTGCTCTAAGCAGAGAAAGTTACTCTGTTTTAAGCTGTTTGTAAAAGTCCTAATGTCAACCAGCTGTGGAAAGTGGTTAAAAATGGAAAGGACTGATCTGATACTCACAAATCCTTTGGGTTTTCTAATAACATGAATTAATAAAAGCATTTACCACTTTAACCAGCTAACAAACAACCCCAAAGTGTATTGGTCTGAAGTCTGTTCACATTTATCCGGGTACATTAGACAGCTGGAGCCAAGCCCAGCACAGTCCAAACACAAGCAGGATGGTGCAGAACCTCAAGCAAAGATGAAAGGCAAAGCATCCAGCCAGGACTGAAATACAGAAGGCACTCCTAAGCACCAGAAAAGAAGTTTTGCATCACCTTGGACCGTTTTGCCAAGATAATCTCCCTTCCTCTCCTTGTTAATGACATACTGGTAGATCTTCCCCGTGGTCAGGTTGTTGTCTTTGGTGAGGCGGATATCGAGGAAGCGCTCGTAGTTCCCGAGGTCCAGGTCCACCTCCCCTCCATCATCCAGCACAAACACCTCTCCTGGAGGCACAGAACCGCACACAGGCACACGTGTCAGGCATGTGGAAGAACTCAACATAAGAAAACTCCTTCCCTGATTGCCACAGCAAGTTTAGGAGCAGCGAACAGAGCTAACGAAAGGAGCAGCGCAGAGGGAGGGACTGAACCCCTCGAGGCAGCAGCAAGGCCAGCCCAGAGCACATCCGTGCCGTGAGCACAGCAGCCCCGGCAGCCGGCCGCAGGCTCGGCACCGGCACAAGGCTCGTACAAAGGAGCCCCTTCACGGCAAGCCGGGACAGCCCCGACACCGAGCACGGGCACTCACCGTGCTCGTACGGCGAGAAGGTGCCGGCGTCGATGTTGATGTAGGGGTCGATCTTGATGGAGGTGACATGCAGCCCGCAGGACTTGAGGATGGTGCCGATGCTGCTGGCGATGATCCCCTTGCCGATGCCCGAGATCACGCCGCCCGTGACCAGGATGTACTTCATCTGCCCCGCGCCTGGCCGCGACACACACCGGCACCGCCTCAGCGCGGGCTCCGCCAGGGGGGCGCTGACAGCGACCCCCGCGCCGCTGCCATCCCTGACCGCGACCCCCGCGCCGCTCCCGTCCCTGACCGCGACCCCCGCGCCGCTCCCGTCCCTGACGGCGACCCCCGCGCCGCTCCCATCCCTGACGGCGACCCCCGCGCCGCTCCCCGCCGCCGCTGAGGGCCGGCGCCCCGCCCGCTCCGCCCGCCGCCGGTTCCCGCCACCGCCGCGCGCCGCCCGCGCGGCCCCGCCGCCAGGCCCGCGTGCTCCCGCTCCCCCCCGCACCGCCGCGCGGGTGGTCCCGCCCGCCGCTCTCACCTGCGGCCGCCGGGCGCGCGGATAGTGCGGGCGGGGGGGTGCGGGGAGCGCGCGCGGCGCCGCTGCTACTCCCGGCCGGCTCGGCTGGGAACCGCATGTGAGGCCCAGCGGCGGCTCTGCGCCTGCGCGGGGCGGGGCCGGAGCCTGCGGGTAGCCCCGCCCCCCGCCCGCCCTCAGCGCCTCAGAGAGCGGGAGCGCTCTGAGGGTCGGGGGGTGAGCTCCGGTGGGAAAGGCCTTTAGCATCACCTAGTCCAAACTACGAGCTAACACCTCCTCATCATGTCCCCGAGTGCCAAACCTACGAGCTAACACCTCCTCATCATGTCCCCAAGTGCCGCATCCACACCTTTCTTGTACACTTACAGGGATGGGGGTGTAGGTCTCAGATTCAGAGTTTCTAACCAGGCAGAAGCCTGGGAATGTGTTGGAAAAGAATGTAAATAAGGTTCTTTATCTGTCTTGTTGTTCACATTGTTTATAGTTAAGTTCTACCACTATGCACCAATGGTTTGGGTTGTTTTTACTTCAGGACCAATGGAATTGGCCTGGACGAAGCTCTGTATAAAGAGCGATGCATTTTGAAATAAATCAGAGTTTCACTCTCGCCTTCTGACTCAGTCTCCTCATTCCCATCCTGCCTCAACAGCGTTGTGGGGGCTCCACCACTGCCTGAGCAGTCTAGGCCAGGACAACCTTCCAGTGGAGAAATTCCCAAAATCCGCCCTGAGCCTGCCCTGGCCCAGCCTGAGGCCGTTCCCTCTGCTCCTGTCCCTGTTCCCTGGAGCAGAGCCCGACCCCCCGGCTGTCCCCTCCTGTCAGGAGCTGTGCAGAGCCACAAGGTCCCCCTGAGCCTCCTTTTCTCCAGGCTGAGCCCCTTCCCAGCTCCCTCAGGAATTCTCCAGCCCCTTCCCAGCTCCCTCAGCCTCTCCTGGGGCTCCAGCCCCTTCCCAGCTCCCTCAGCCCCTTCCCAGCTCCCTCATCTGCACCTGAGCTGGATTCTCTTGCTGTTGGTCTCATTTTGTGGCGTCCGTGTGTCCTGCCAGCACATCCCCCGTGGACACGGCCCCTGGGTGTTGATAGCTCTGTGGGCAGAGATGTCTCTTTGCTTTCCCTGGGCTGGGGCTATCCCCTCGCTGCTGGCACACGGTGACCCAGTGCACAGCAGTGCAGTGCCTGCTGCCCTCTTGGAGGAACATCTGCTCTCAGGATTACCTGGCCATGCTGGCATGCTCCTCCATGAAGGACTGTTCTTATTTTCTGCTGTCCTATGAGTAGCTCCTAAGTGGGAAATATTAAAAAAAAACATGTCCAGCACCTTTTCTGCAGAATGGTGGCTGTGGGTCTGGCAGCAGTGAGATGGTGACAGCAGGCAAGGGCTGTGTGTGCTCGGGCTGTCGCTGTCACTGCCTGGTGGCACATCCTGATGAGGCACAGGGAGGCTGAGCTCTCCCAGGAGTGCCTTAGGACATCCCAGCTTTTCCCATTTCATGAGTGGGGCACAAGACACGTGTCTTGTAGCTGAAGGGAAGTCCATTCTTGTGGCGATGTGTGTAACCTCGATGTGAGCATTAACTTCAGCACACACAAATCCTTTCCTCAGTGCCTCATTAAAGGCCTCAGGGGTTGGACATCCCGTGGTGCTCAGGAGAGAACTGCACTCAGTGGGAGCTATTGTGAGCATTAAATGGTGTGGAATAACACTGACCCAGAAAAGTCAGATCACAAATATCTCAAGTTATGCAAAATTACATCTGCTTTTTGCAGAAGAGGGTGAAGGTGTGTGTGGGTACGTGTGTTTCACCCTTAATTTTGCCCTCAGTCAGTTTTGCCCTTGCAGTGCCTTGTTCTCAGCTCTCAGTAAAATACAGACTTAATATTTCCCTTTCAGAAAGGTGAAATGAGATGAAATGGATCTGCTCTGTTTATTTAACAGGATTTGATTCACAACAAAACAATTTAACTGGAAAACATTGCTAGGAAGACTGGTATAGCTCTGGGGAATGTTAATGTGTTACTGGGATTATACAAGGAACGAACAGACTGGAATCCTCAAACACTCACTTGAATTTCCTTGCAGTTTAGGAGTCTATTTGTACAGGGAAAGGCTTATTGTGATGTTACATGTATATAATACTAATGACAGTGATAATAAATTATATCTTATGCATTATATATATATATATGCAGTTATTCCACTCAGGACATTCACAGCCTCCTCTTACATAGTCCCTCCTGAAGGTGACAGGATGACCTGTTGCAACAAGATTTTGAGACTGAGATACCATTTCCAGGCAGTGATTCTTTTCTCTGTGAAAGAAGTAGCTAAAGATGGCCCTGCACTGGACTGTTCCTGAGAGACTATCCAGGAGCTTGCAGCCCCCCTGGGCTCTGCACCCACCACTGGGCAGCACTGCAGAGAAAACACTTTATTGTCTTTATTGTTACTGTGCTGCTTATCACCACAGGGGTCTGGTATGTTCACTTAGCACCTGTCTCACTCACATCATGTTGGGTGGGTGTCAGCTCATGCTCTTCTGACTGATGCCTACTCCAAATGCCCTGCACATGCCCCAGGTGGCAGCAGTGTGGGTGAGGACATCCCTGCCACCATCCCCATCCGCCCTGATCCCTTGTTAGCAGCAGAAGGCTTTGCAGGAGAAGTTGGGTAGCACCAAGGACAGACAGGACTTGGAATCACAGAATCCCAGAATGGTTTGGGTGGGAAGGACCCCTAAAGATCCTCTTGTTCCACTCCCTCCCATGGGCAGGGACACCTTCCACTATCCCATGCTGATCCAAGCTCTGTCCAACCTCATCTTGAACACCTCCAGGGAGATCATCTCGTGTGGTGAAGTGCACTCTGAGTACCTGTGAAAAGCTGCAAACTCTTGGCTGCTTTTTAAGTATAGAATATTGTAGACAGCTAAAAATCAAGGCATGAGGGTGATTGTCAGCTGCCCTACTCTAGATTCACCCTCAGTTCTTGCTCTGTGGCTGCTGAAGTGATGATGAAATAGTTCCTGCTATGATCCAAATGTCTTCTGAAAGGCTTCTTCAGTGGTTTGGAGTGGAAGTTCTTCCTTAGTAATGCAGGTGTGTGCTATGTGAGGTAGGATACTGGACTTCCTTCTGTAGCGGTGACTGTAAAAAATCCCCATTTTTAGGTTCTTCTAACCAATTCCCATCAGCATGTGGTTCAAAGCCAGGATCCAGTGCCAGTCAGGCCTTGGAAAACACTGGGAAAGCTGTTGTGTGTTTGGTTCCCCCTGTGTGCTGATCACTGGGTTTCACCTCGTGATTAATATAAACTTCACAGGAGGGGATGTGGAGTCACTGGCAAGTGTCAAGCACTGTTCAGTCCCACTTCCACACGGCAAGATGCTCCCTGTGAGCCTGCTGTATGGCTCCTTGAGGTTTCCATTTGCAGGATTAATCAGGGTTTGTGTAAAATGTTTAAATCCTTTTACTAGTCTACACTTGTGCTCTGAACTTGATCAAGTTTTCATTTAAGTGCAAAGTAAACACATCTGTTGCCCTGAGCAACCAAAGGATTTGGGCAGATCTTGAATAAGATACAAAATTATGTAGGAACAAGAGCTGTTCCTACATGTAGAGTGCTCTGGAGCATAAATCTGATGAGAAGCAGCCAAGGGGATGAGTGACAGAACAAAGGGAAATGGCCTCAAGTTATGCCAGAGGAGGTTCAGGTTGGATATTAGGGAAAATGTCTTACTGAAAGAGTGGGCAGGCATTGGTGCAGGATGCTCAGGGCAGTAGTGGAGACACGGTCCCTTGAAAGTGTTCAAAAAATGAGTAACCATGCCACTTCATGATACATTTTGTGAACAGGGTGGGATTCAGGCAGAAGTTGCACTTGATGATCTTGCAGGTCGTTTCCATTTTCAGTTGTCCTATGGTTTTGTGTCTTGTGGCAGCTCCTGCCCTCTCACCTCGCTGCGCTCTGTCCTCTCAGAGATCTCCACTAGATGGTGGAATGGACCAGTGAAAGAGTTTGTGCGGTGACAAAGGCACACGATCAGGCTGTGGTGACACCCGTGGGGCTCTCGGAGCTGCTCTCAGGACCAGATCCTGGAGCACCACCCATGCCCTGCGTGTTAAGGAGCATTTGGCAGCACCTCTGTGCATCAGTCTTTGCAGTGCCACCCCAAACCCGCTGGGACTGAAGAATGGTGGTCCTTCCACAGCTCTTGATTCTTTCAGACAGGGGCATTTCACCTTCAGGCCTCTTCCTCTCAGCTTCCTTTTCTCCATGGAGAAGAGCTGCCTTTTTCCTAGGGGGCAAGTAGTGAACCCACTGATGTGCTGCAGAGCTCATCCATGCTAGGAAGGGAATGTTTTGGCTGGAGGGCTGTGAATGAGAATGGGACAGCATGTCACCAAAGAAGTGAGAGTGGGGAGAAAATGTTCTGCAGGTGCAGAAGATGTGTGTGATGGGGATTAAAGCTCTCAAGTCTGTCCAATAGAGCCAGTGCTAGCTTGGACAGAGTGCTGACCTGAAACTAGCTCTCAGTCCTCTGCCCTGAAAGGTCATGTCACAGTTCTGTGTCTCAGTTTCTCCTGTGTAAAATGTAGTAAAGGAATCTGACCTTTTGGGGACAGTCTTTTGTTATCTACAACAGACTGGCCATCAGAGCTCTCTGTTTTCATTACTGACTCTGCTGGTGGCTGATGGGATTGTGCCCTCTGTACCTGGAGTCACGGGGAGTTGAGGCTTTAGCTCCACTCATGACACTGTCCAGAGCAGGAGGCTGAGCCTGCACTGTCCTGGTTCCCTCCTTCCAGTTAGAGCTGAAGTCCTGCAGGCAGCAAAGGGAGAGCTGCCAGAGCCAGCTGCTGCTGGAGGGGTGAGGTGCTGCTTGAGCTGCTGGCACTGTTTGGCCAGCCTGGTGAAGGTGTAGGCTGCAGGCCTTCATTTCTGCAGAAAGACTCATGCAGATTTGATGAGTGGAGAAGCTGTATAAACAGAATGAGATGTTTTCCTTTAACAAATGAAGTTTCCTTTCCTAAGGGGACTGTGCTGGTGGTGGTGGTTTTGCCAGGAGATAACCTGGTCTAGGGGGAAGCGTCCCTGCCCAGAAGGCTTGGAACAAGATGTCCT